AGAGGATCCCCCCGCGAGATGGAAATTTGTCAACGAGCGCAGTTTAACATTGCGTTGGTATGACGCCGAAGAGCCATCGCCGACATGGGGAAGAGCATCGTCCAGGTCAAGGACTGTGAGGGTTGGAAGTTGCTCTAGAACATCCAGAAAAAGGTGCGTAGATGGTCTAGATCCTGAAGCAGGTTTGTGAACTTTCAAGTATGTAAGACCTTTGAGAAGGTGGGACGTCCAATCAAGATTGCAATGTGTCAGTTCGAGGCGTCGGAGCTGAGAGGAGTCATCAATAAAGAGCTCCGGAGGAATGGAGTAATTGTCATGAAAGGGATCCGCATAATGGTTTGTTGGGGCAGACAGCACCAGAGTCCGAAGCATAGGTGCTGCTCTCGGGACACTTGAGAAAACATTTCCAAATGATGCACTCTCAGGCTGAGAATCTATGCTCAACTCCCGTACACGGGAAATGTGGTTCATGGCCAGTTGAATGGCTTCAGTCGTTTTTGAGCCCATGTAGGATCCATACTCGGCATCAATGACAAGCGGAGCCATTTTGGACCTCTTCAGCATCTCTCCCACCCACCTCGGTCGCGAGAAAATGAGCGTTGTCCATAAGCGAGGGCAACCAATAGCCACTGTTCGCCAATGGCGTGTGACGTGGGTGACTTTAACCCAATGGATGGAGGGCTCGTATGTGGCTGCGCAACAAATAAATATTTTGGAGAGTATTTCAGGGGGGAGGCGCGATATGGCAGCTAGGCTATTGCGAGCGGGATTTAAGCGCTCGTTCAGCAGCTCGTGCAGCAACTGCGTTGCGAGATTCCCACTTCCGTTCTCGCAACTCAATCATATCCTGAACATTTTGAATTAGTGCGGTTGAGCCAATGTTGAAAAATTGATACCGACCTGCAACATGAACTGCATTCGTAAGCTGACATTCTGGTTCTTGGAAAGCTCTTTCATCCGAGAGAAATAGACCTCCATATGGGCCCGGGCCCTCGGTGTGTCGAAACTGGCGCCGACAGTGGTCAGCAATGTGCACAAACTTTCGATCTCTTCCTCCTCGGGGTTCTCCACATTTCCGAGTAGTTTCTTGACACACTCATGCATAATACGTTCGGTCAGCATCTGTAGTTTGAAGAATTCGCCAATAAACTTGATCAGACCGAGACCTTGTCGCTTGGCCTTCTGTGCAGCGTAGTATTCGTCAGAATATAGCGCGACTTTCTCAGTTCCACCCTCCTTGCTCTGCCGGATGACAGCCTTTGCAGCTTCATCCCTCGAAGCTTTGACAGCAGCAGCAGCAGCGGTTGCCTCCTTCGCTACCCAACCGCGCTCAAAATCTTTTTGACATCTGTTGAGCATGTATTTTCGGAAGAGTTGACCACCAGCAATGGGCTTTCCGTCAAGGCTCTTGATTCCGTGATCCTGAACTTTGGAGCTAATCTGTTCCATCATTTTCCTCCAAAGGCGAGCGTACATCTCTGACCAAATAGCTTCATCAATAGCCTTCTCAAAGACGAGTCTGATAACTTGAACGAGAGTCCTTCCGTCCTTCTCTTTCTCCGATTTATTCGCCCAAGCGATAACTTGATCAGAGATGGAATCGAACTTCTGCATGGTCAACTTGTTGAGTAGAGCCGTGACCTTGCGATCAACAAATACGGGTGAATCAGGATCGATCGGCATCGCCCTCCTGTCCCAACGGTTGGCAGACATCCGAAGAGGTGCGACGGGTTTGAGTTCAACATTCTGAAAAGCGCTGGCTTGGAAGTCGTTGTAGCCAGATCCACGACCCTGTTGGACATTATTCATCTCGTTTCGCTCCCCTCCGCGCTTGCTTTGAGTACGATCCCTGAGTAGAGCACCATCAGCACCGTCTTGGCAGCCTCGTTGGGTATCTTGGGTTGAGTCTAGATATCCCGACTTCAAATCTAATTGAGTTTGAAAATGGAAGCATACCGGTGGGAAGGTGATCATCGAGTTTATGGTCTTGAGGATTTGGGCCAACGCCAGAACCTGATATGTTGAGGTTGTCGAGTCGAGTGGTCATTGTGGTGTTCGTTCAGTAGAGTTGCTTATATAAGCAACCTTATTGCATCTTGCTAGGTTTTTAAAGTTGCTGACCCACGCCGCAGCACTACGTGACCCAATCGAAGCTAGAGGGCCGTGAATCTATGAGCAAGGGCGCGAAGAAAAGTCCTCGAGCGTTCCATGAAGTTTTATTCAGTTGCAGTTCGCGACCGAACCAACCCTCCTAGTAGAGAGTCGGGGAACAACCAGAGAGTCACAGATAGACCATTGGGAGCAAACACAAAGAACGCGCAGAGATTTTGAACTTCAAAGCACCATAAGCCAACAACCCGACCCGGAGAGGGATTAACGGAATACCTTTCCGAACAACGTCTTGTCGCCTGGATACGTCCCAGACGGAAAAGTTGTTTTCGGTCAAGCAGATTCTAGGTTCGGAGTTGGTCGACCCGACCAGGAGAGGGATTTTCGGAATAGCTTTCCGAACAACGTCTTGTCACCTGGATACGTCCCAGACGGGCAACCTGATTTTAGTCAAGCGGACTCTAGGCTAGGAGTTGGTCGACCCGACCCGGAGAGGGCTTAATGGAATACCACGCCTTGTCACCCGCATACGTCCCAGACGGACAACCTGTTTTTGATCAAGCAGACGCTAGGCTCGGAGTCGGTCGGCCATTCGTGCTGAAGAATGATGAATGGAATCGTAGTCCGGAAAAAAGGTGTAACGGTGACGGTGTCAACAATTTTTATGTTGAGGGCTTCAACCCGTCTTTGAACTGGTTGCTAGCTGACGTTCGCCGCCTTGATGGTGATGAAAGATGTGCAAAGGTAAGGGATTTGACCAGGGCCTGAGATAAAATGATAACCTCACCTGGATACGTCCCAAACGGACAACTTGTTTTTGGACATCCAGACTCTAGGAGTCGCTCGGCTGAAGAGTTTTGCATGGAATCGTAGTCCGAAAAAAGCTGTAGCGGTGACGGAGTCGACAATTTCAATGTTTAAGGCTTTCAACTCGTTTTTGGACTGGTCGCTGAAACGTAGGACGACGTTTGATGGTAAGAGTCGATTTGTTGAGATGAGAAAATAACTAGAAAGTCATATGATAAGATAAGATAACAAACACCTTCCTCAACACCTATCTCGGACTCATTGCAAACCTCATGATCATTCCCGACAAGTCCTGACTCACCCCCTCCCCTCTCTCTCCATCCACCAATGGTCCAATTCTACCCCGAAATCCCAGACTTCCTCATCCCCTGGATCCAATCCCAAAAAATGTTCTGGGTCGCCACCGCCCCCCTCTCCCCAACCGGCCACATCAACGTCTCGCCAAAAGGGTACGAAGGGACGTTCAACATTGTGGATAGGAAGACGGTGTGGTATGAGGATCTTAGTGGCAGTGGTGCGTACTTCTACTTACAAGCCCAGGAATTGGATGAGGAGTTAAAGGAGGAATGGGTGTGGTGTAGGTGTAGAAACTATTGCGCACGTACGTGAAAATGGACGTATAACGATTATGTTTTGTGCTTTTGAGGGGCCGCCTAGGATTACGAGGCTTTTTGGACGAGGTATTTCCTGCCACTACTTAGATGTCGGAATTGATTCTTGAACGTTGATGCATTTAAAGGAACCGTACACGAATTCGGCACACCCGAATACGAATCCATTATATCCGTCGATAAAAGACAACCAGGCTCGCGTTCTGTAATTATGCTGGACGTGTATAAAGTCAGCTCCGTACGTCCCTTTCCTCTCCTTTCCCTCCTCCCTCCCTTTCACTCACTACACGACGAACGCATGAACAGTCATGCGGCTACGCAGTCCCGCTATACACATTCAAAGCGCACAGGCTAAAGCTGAAAGAATCCTTCGCTCGGAAAGAGGACGAGGACATATCCGCTTCAGCTCATGGTGAACCCCCGCTTCCGGAAAAGGGGTTAAAGTATTATTGGAAACTGAAGAATACGCAGAGTTTGGACGGGTTACCTGGTGTATTGGTCGCGCCTGATTCGACGAGGCCGTTTGAGAAGCGGGAGGGGCATGTCATTCAGAGTGATGAGGAGATTGTTTGTATTAGTGGGACTACCAAGGGCTGGGGATTGACATTGAAATCACTGGCCATTGGAGAGGTGTGTGATTTGAAGGTGTTGATTGCGTTTTCGCTTGGTGTGGGTGTTTCGGCTGCCTGGATGAGATTTGTGAGGGCTTGAGGGAGTGTATTATTATAACCACTAGGGGACGAAGCGCCTGGAAGCGCTCGGTGTCAAACGTCATTGACAAAGTTTATTGGATCCGGCGCAGTCCTGTCAATAAAGTATAGAGTGACAGCATGATAAAGCAGTGAAAGGTTGTCCAGACCCAAACGTAAGTATGTGGCAAGCGAGATAGAGGAAATCTAGTGGTAGAAGGAGGTGTTCGATGAATGTCTGGGACCGAATGTTGTGATAAATGGCAAGAATGAGCAGTATGTCCCAAAAGAGGCAGTCAGGGTGAGCAATGGACACACGTTGTGGCTGAGCAAACAGTCGAGTTTATTATTTTTTCTCTCTTCTGTTATGCTCCTTGTGCACTCCTCGTACAAGCCCTTGTATATCCTCTAGTTGTATATATCTCTCTCTCCACGTTGTACTCCTCGACGTTGTACTCATTGACGCTGTACTCTTCTCATCACTCATGGACGCCACCAATACTCCTCCTCTCACCGCAAGCCTATCTCTCTCCTCTCCTCTCTCGCCCAGCTCACTCACACATTCTCGCCCACAGCAATCCGACGCAATAAACTCGTTACTCTCCCTCTCCTTCGCTGCAGAGGGTGCTGCGCCCATTCCCATTTCGGGGTCCGGCGCCAATGCCAATGGTTCAGCCACTTTCTCTGACACCACCCTCGCCCCGCAAACGCCCCCCTCAGGCCCACTAGCCTCCTCTCTCAATAACGGCACAAAGTCCCACCGCCGCCTCGCATCCACAGGCAAGACCAGGCGGAGACTCAGCGATGCACGAGAAGCTGCTAATCGACCCTTGTACGTGTCGTAACTTTTTTCCCCTCCCCATGATCGGTCCGACGATCACTCATCATTGACTTCCCCACAGGCAAACGACGGCGGCGGCGCTCTCCCTCGCTTCCCTCTCCCTCTCCTCCTCGCCTCCTTCCATTCACCCACAGCAGATATCCACCTCCTTGTCGGGTGTTTCTCGGTCCCTTGCACCGGCTCCTACTACTACTTCAGAGGCCTCATTACCTCTCACTGACGGGAGCAATATTCCACAGTCTATTTCTATCGCGAGCAGTAACAAAGCTTCCGCGACCCCCATTCCCATAACTAATGGAAAGGGTGCAAAGAAGCGGGGTGTAGACCACAAGTGTGAAAGTTGTTCAAAGGTAAACAACTTGCTTTGACACACAGAATGACGCTCAACCATTTTTTGGTTGTAGATATATCGCCACCCTTCGTGCCTCATCAAGCATCGGTGGGAACATACCCCACACTGGCGCGAAGCCTCCAAGTTTGTACTCAGCAAACACCAGCAAGTACAACTTCTCGAGGTACCCCTCATTTCCCAAAATGTGCCTACACAACAACTAACCCTTATCCTGTCCCAGGCAGCAGCCATCCTCTCACACATCGCCCCCTCCGCATCAGGCGGCACCTCTCTCCCAGAAGACCGATCCCTCTGGCCATCCTTCCTCTCAGGTGGCTCGCTCCCCCGCGCAGATCCCGTCGAGGCAGAAGGGACACCCCTCCTTCCCGCCTCGAGCTCTTCCGCGTTTCCAGTGTCAAGCTCCGTACCAGCCCCATCGACATTCTCACGTTCCAACTCGACGGGTCCGAGGTTGCATGATTATTCTATCCCGTCGAACGTTACGCAGGTTAGGCCGGGGTTGGTCAGCGTGCCCACTACGACGACGACTGTTTCTGTACCGCAGGGTACCCAAGGGATCGCTGTACGAGGAGGGGGTACCGCACCAGTTGCGGTTAGGGGAACCCCAGCGGTACCCATGCCCGTCCCAGCTTCGAACACGAACACGTATGCGGGGTACAGAGGTTCTCATGGCGAATCCTGGTCCTCGCGACATACCAACGGCTCGCACTCGCACTCGCACTATGCCCCGTCTTCGTATGGCGGTACGAATGGATCGTCGTATCCACATTCTCATTCGCCTTCTGAAGAGCGGAGTAGCCTTGGTCGTGCGAGGAATGCTGCACCCCCAGCTACCAATGGAGGAGTGGGGGGAGGAGGGTGGTCACTCCCCCGCTCGTCGCTACGCAGCGTCTCCGTATCCTCCCAATCCCGCTCGCGTTCCAACTCGGCTAGCGAGGAGAGCGTGGATGTGGATGTGGATGTTGATGCGGACGATTATGCTGTTGGTGGGGGGAGATATGCGTTTACTGGAAGGAGTGCGACGAGGATGTGGAAGAGGGAAGAAGACGAGTTGAGTGTTGGGTTTAGTGTTAGGGAGGAGGATGAGGATATGGTTGTTGGTGGTGGTGGGAAGGAGAGGAGTGTGGAGTGGGATGGGATGGAGATGGAGATGGAGATGGATATGGATTGAAGGAAGGAAGGAAGGAAATTATACAATGATTGATACATGCACACGGAAGAACATCGACATCGACATCGACACCAAGATATCACCCTCGCTCCTCTCCTGGATCTCACCCTCTTCTTCTCTTCTCCACACTCAACACACACACATTGTTCTTTCTCATCCTCTATTCCTCTTCTTTTTTTTCTTGTCGTCCCTTATTTCCGGCTGTTTTTTTTTCTTTTTCGTGAATCTCTGTATTTTTTGAATGTATCAACTCAGCCCCGTGTTGTGGGTTATTATAAACGTTCTTTCTTTCTTTTCTTTTCTTTTCTACAATATCTCACTCATCATCATCCCTTTCTACATTGTTCATTCTTCACGTCGTTACCCCCAAACCAAACCAACCTCATCGCATCCACACCTCTGAATCATCCGACCGAGCGCTGTTCAAATTCATCGTTGTACCCCCCACCCTCTTTTCTTTTTTTTCTTCCTTTCCTTTTAATTTCCCTCTCCCTCTTTCACGCTCTCTCTCTCTGTTGAAGTGGCGAAACCTCGGACTTCTTGTGGACCACATGAATGAAAATGAATTGTATTACTTCAAGTTGTTTCATGATCAATTGAATATTTCGTTTCTCCTTGCATTCTTGAATCTCGAAAAACTGGACTGCTGTCTGTTATTCGATTTTGACGTTCTGTTGAAGGAAATTGGAAAAGCGCAGCTGGCTTCACAAGTCCTAGTGCCCTTGACATGACTGTTGTCGCTTGTTACATATCGCCTTGTCTTGAATCTCAAAACCTGACCGCTCCCTGTTATTATTTTTGGCGTTATCAGCAAATCGGAAAGGCGCCAGCTCCCATCGTTGACGCTGGTGGCGGGACCCGAGGAGAAAAGTGTTTGGTGTTGTTGAATTTACAAGTCGAAAGCTTTGCGAGCTGAACGCTCCCAGTCCGCGGAGAAGGTGTCATCCTCATGTCTCTCGTGTTTTTGAAATGAGGACATTTTACGATGAACTCAAGGAAAAAAAAAAAAAAAAACATACTCCGTGGAGTTGAACGGACAGTCAGTACGTGATAGTACTATTTAAGTGAATGAGATTTACAGGAGTGCATATAGTACCGAGGATGAGTGGAGTATATATATACAGGGGATGGAAATGAGGGCATCAGCGAAGGAAACTGGATAGTAGCGGATTTTTCGCCGCATGAATTGGGACCAAACTAGCCACTGCCACACCAAGCATAAAAGCCAAAGCGTATCCGGACAACAAGCCTGTCTGCGTCTGCGTCGGACTCCGCAGGAGGACCTTGGGCGGAGGAGACGATTGTTGCGCCAAAGCAAGCGCAGGCAGCCCGTCCAAGCTCTCCGCGTTCCTCGTCCTCCACCACGCCATCATACCCTTCTCGCTCGAACCACCACCACAAATGCGATCCGTGCGCTCTTTCTTGGCTGCCCAGTCGATGAGCTGGGAGCGATGAGATTGGAAGGCGTAGAATGGGACTGCCCATCCGCACGTCTGATTAACCTGCAATGAAGGGCACAAAAAACAAGGCAGGGTAAAGGAGGATGCGCACAGTGCCAACTTTGAAGACGTCGATGATTATGACGGCTCGTGAACCGGGTTGGCGGATGGATGAGGGGAGGAGGTATTCGTATTCCTGACTGCCAATCTCGTGAATGGTGCCTGTGGCGGCGGGGGAGTAGTAGGTATGATGCCCACTGCGTAGGTGTGGAGACGACCGACCTTTCCCGTATAGCCTGACGATCCTCGGGGGACCATCAAAAGCGTTGAACAAGACGGTTACCCGCCCATTTTCACCAATGTGAGCTATAGTTTCGGCTCCTGGGCGTCCATCAAAAGACCTGGTTTTCCGAGAAACCCACAGAAATAACGTACCCGACCCTGACAGATCTTCGTACCAGACACGTCGAGAATTCACGATGTGAAAAGTGCCTTCAATACCCTTCGGAGATACGTTGACATGACCATCAGCAGATAAAGGCGCGGACGCAACCCAGAATACGTTTTGTTTCTTTATCCATTCGATGAGATATTCAGGGATTTCCGACAGCGTCTCGCCCATCGTATAAATTTTCGAAAGGCTAGTTGCCCAGTGATGGTGTCAGAAAGAAAGACAGCCGCAGTTTTGCTCAGGGTGCTGGACACGCTCGCATGGCTCGACTTTTTGGACCATCCACATGCATGTGCAGCTGACGGAACGGATACAAGGCAGTCCTTCTTGATGAGCTGACCCGCTCAGGAGACTTCCTGTCTCCCATGCCGCCGGCATATATGAGTCTTGCATTCTGTCATAGAAAATGTGCCTTCTCATCTGGTTCGGAGAATGTCGTGGATTAGGCCGTTTCTGACATGAAGCCCTCCGTCTGTTCCTTTCACGTTTTTAGGGTGATCAACCACGATGAGATTCATCATCTAGAAATTGACAGATATGTACAGTTTGGAACCGGCGGCTTGAAATACTAGCTCCTTTTCCGTGGATGGGGAGAAGGAGAGTCCCGAGGAAGTTGCAAATTCGGAACCTGTAGACAAGCGAGATACGGCTGTCATGGGTCTCGGGACGCGCCTAGTCGCCTAGTAAAGCCGAGGACATTCTGGGAGCAGGGTTTAAGCGAGAACGTGTATATATTGAGCTCGAGGCCAGTCGTGGTCATGGTAGACAGGAAATGAGATAAAAGTCATTGACCGAAAGCGGCATCGTCTTCCCACCCCACTTGCTTCCCGAATCTCAGCCACCTCACTTTCCGACTGGTATTGAAGGAATCGTTTCGGAATACTGGAATAACGAAAGGCTCTTCATAACTGCTTGGAATTATGTTTAGAGCCTTGCCTTTTCCACCAGGGGAAATCCTTCGACAGAAGACCCAAATGATGGTACGGACACTTGGGTGACATTTCATCGTTTTATGGGGAAGATACGCCTGCCACCTACTCCTAAGCCGGGCAGTACGAAAGCCTGGTCTAGCTCCGTTGGCGAAGTCCGAAAATCTTTGCAAGTGGTTCGCATTTCACGCGTTCATAGCTGGCAGCCACAAGTGAAAAGCCGTCATCCGGCAGTAGCGAAAAACATATCCATTTGTCGATCTCTTTTATCCTTGTCAACTTTTTCGACCAGGTAATATGGGCCATTGGGAAAGAGCCTACACCAACGGAGATCACATCAGCCACTCCTTCTCCGACGCCAATGCTCATATGTGAACTGATCTGGTTCAAAATGACCAAGAGGTCTAGGATGAACAGAGCTCATCAAGTCATCGAATGAGTTCATGATGTCAACCCTGTGGTTTCACAACCCAACTTGAAAAAAGGACATACATCGGAGTCCCATGTGACTCTTTGAGAGTCATTCCTCCTTTGGAGTTGTACCCATCCCCGACAACTTGTCATCCGAAGAAGTAACTTCTTCATATCCGAATTGTGAACGGGGAAGTTCTATTGCTTATTTGTTTCGCACTGTAAGTTGCGGTGATTCAGGTGGGTTTTTGCTTGTGGGATGGCCCTATTAGTAATCTGACATCTTTTGATTCTCTCATCTCATTAGATCTTTTCAGGTGCAGGTTTGGGTGTCTGTTGATTTCGGAATCTGTGGTGGGTCAGAGAACTACAAAATAATAAATGCGGCACCAAGTGACCTCTGGCTTGAGATAACATTGTGGTCGTCGTCACTCAGAACAGGAATCCATATTATCTGCTGGATATGATGGACTGAAAGGTTCAAGGGAAAGGGCAGCATCGTAAAAGGACCACCAAGCTGTTGCCAGTGAGGCTGAGATTCGTCAACACGAGATGAGCCCAACTAGCCGTGAGAATAGATTTGGTTGGGAGCAGCGGTTTCCCGTCAGAACGGATTTACTAAGCAACCTGAGTAGTATCTATAGTTTGGATGGGTCAAGTAGTATTCCCTTGAAGTAACGGTCCAACCACTGTGGATCTTTTGCCATGGCACCCACTACCCCGTCTGGTCTCACAACGACAACACCACACTTCCGCCCAGTATAGGCTTCATGAGCATGGCCTTCGCGATCTTCAAAAACCAAATTGACGTGATCAGGTAAGTCAATGGGAACTGCCTGTTGCGATGGAACAACGACGGCGATTCGAAGGACGTCCTTTGGATAACTTGCAACACGCTGGAGTGACGCCTTCGTATCCACTAGTTGTGCAAAGATAAGGACCGTGTGGTAGGAGGTCCCGAAAACATCGCGGAACAATGAGCTCCTCTTGCCCATCAAATCCGGGCGGAGAGGGATAAGGTCTGACGAATCTGGTGCTCTATCACCCGCTTGCAGATCACTATTGACGCCGACACCGTATGAGTTGGATCTCTCGTCGATGCTGTCTTGCGCAGTAGACTCAGTTTTCTTCACCTGGTCAAGCACAATTGAACTCCATCGGTAATTGATGCCCAATCGAAGAGCCGGGCCAGAACGGTTCCAGGTACCATCCTTTGAAGCTTTCGCCATTCCGTTGAGCAGCTTAGTGGTCTGCTTCAGCATTTCTGAGACCACCGGAAGTCGCTCTTCTGAGTAAGTATCGAGAAGAGAGGGAGGGGCGAGTCCTTTGACAACGAGGGAAAGCTTCCAGCCAAGAGTGAAAGAGTCTTGGATGCTAGTATTCAAACCCTGAGTGACGCATGAGCTCACTCTTCGGTTCTTGGTAGTGGTACCCACCTGGCCTCCAGTTGGACTGTGAACATGAGCTGCATCTGCGAGGAAGAGACCGATTTGGAGGTCAAAAAGTGGCTTGAGCGATGCGGCGCAGAGGAGATGCGGTGGATGTCTGCGCTGGACCAGTACAACATCACGCTGAATGGGATTCAACCTCAACGCACTAAGACACGATTTAAACAAGTCACCATGGAAGAGATGTTGGCACGTATGGGACCACTATGGGACATAGAAGTTCGGGGAATATTTGACAGATCCATCATAGGCTGTGAGGAACTTGTATGACGCAGGTCAAACACAACTCTCGTTAAGTACCTGTTTCATTTCAAGTTAGACCATCTATTTGGCATTCCATGGCAGCCATTGAGCCTTGATACTAACACGGTTGTGACGGCAAAGGGCTCTCCGTCCAAGGTGTACCCATCAGGTGTTCTTCCCGACGGCAAACCTCGATGATGAGTTATGGCAGGGGAAGACTCAGAGGATGTCGAATGACCTGAGCATTACGAAATTTAAGATGATAGGCGGGGACAACTTGAGCTAAATACCTCGTGCGTTTCTTAGCCTGCCCGTGTCTAAGGCTATCTTAGGTTAATGACTCACAGCTCTTCGTTCTGGACTCGAACCTATTGGCGTCGGGGTGTCCACACTGGTTAACTGCGTCCATAGATTGAACGAAAAAATAAATGCGATCCATTTGTGCACTTGCTTGTTGTGATAAACATTAGAATCATATCCGATTTGCAAGCCTCTTGCACTTTATCGGTAGACGGGGTTTGCTTGCATAGCCGAGATGTGTCTTTGTGCATGTCCAATTTACGTTGAAAGGGCTGTCTTCTTCGTCTTCAACGCCAAATATTCTCCGTCGATGGGGGTCCATGATTGGCAGCATACAAGGTCCTGAAAATTGATCGCTGATTTAAACTATTGACAATGTCTGCCAAAAGGGAGGTGACACACCACGGCTACACAATCTTCCTGAAATCGTCCTCGTCGCTCGCATTATACACATAATGTCCACATTACATATGGCTCCCACAGCTACACTGACACGTTGATGAGTATACAATTTTCAGATCCCGATCCTCTGAACAACCAAGAGTTCTGTCTTTCAATCAGTTACCTATGAAAGTGAGGAAACACGAACATTTCACTTGGCACGACTACGCTTTTCCTTAGTTTTCTTGACGGGCGGAGGAGATGGTGGAGGTGAAGACTCTTCGTCTGTAACTTCAGCGCCAATGCGGGCTTTCTTATACAGTGGTTCTACGGACGTTGTCGTTAAGCCCCAGTCAACGTGTATGGCAAATGTTGCTGGGAATACCTTGAAGCAAATTCTTTTTACGTCGACGACTTTGAACTACCGTTTGTCCTGTTAGGAAGTAGATTCAGGCTTCGTTGTGCACATCTAGATAGAGTTGGAACATACCAGGCCTACGAGCAGACGACGGAAGTTCCCCGTCATCGTTGCTATCGTCAAATTTAAAAGACCTTTGCTTCCGTTTTAAAGCATAAGTCTCTGTAGCGGAATTAGCGAGCGATATGTGTATCAAGTACTCAAACCTTTATCTGGTCTTCGACCACCTACTTCCTCGGACTCTAGTGTATTCCTTTGGCGTATACAAGACGCAACTGAAAGGAAGGTCAAAGTGGAATCAAGTCGCTCCATGAACAGCATGATACCCACCTTCTGAGCGTTTTTTCTGTCGAACTGCTAGAACGCGAGAACTGGACGAGCTTTCTTGAGCGAGAATCGGTCCGGGGGCTTCGACATCATCATCAAAGAGCCGCAAGGGCTTTAAATCGCGCAGTCTATGTTTCGATGGAGCTGTGAATGAACTATAAGTAAGGCAAAGGAAAACGATATCCAAGCAGCACAGATCCCACCCTCTCTTTTGCGCCGATTCGCGGATCTTGTACGATTTGGCACAATGTGTGTCTGGACTTTAGAGAAGACAAATGGTTTTTCACGATCACTCTCGGTGCACGTCGACTCTATACGCGTCACTGTAAGGAAATAGCATTGAAAATGTATCAGTCGAAGGAGCCGTACCTGCGTCTTCATCATCGCTGACTACCTTTCGATGTGGGGTTATCGGAACACGAGGGTCTGATGTTGATTGGTTTAAATGGCAGGTGTATGGCAAAAGAAGTGACATACCAGGACTTTGTACATTGTCCCAGAAATCGCCTTCGTCGCTCTCATTCGAGCCTGGGGATGCTTAGCTTCCAAATGGATAAAATGAGAATGATGCTCACCTTCGCTCACAGAATCTGCTTCCTCGACTACATCAGAATCCGAGAATGGTGTCACTAATGGGCATTGTAAGAAAACAGGGAGCCGAAATCGGAGGAGAAAGTACCTTGTCGCTTCCGGTGTCTCGCCGTCGGGGGCGGTTCATCTTCAGAATCAACAACCACCTTTGGTCGACGTTGTTTGGAAGGGGATGCTTCTCAATAGATTGAAGTTAACGACGAACAAAGGTGAAGACGTCACATACCTGGAATCCGCACGTCGCCATCGAAAACATCTCTGTTCTTTGAATGCCTTTGCATTTTACGAGATTGTTTTGTCAGTCTGCCTTTCGGAGTGGGTGTAGCATAGCCTGAGTCGTCTAGATTGATTCCCAATTGCCAGTTTAAGATAGGATTAAGCAGCACCCACCTTCGCTTGCAGATTTGTTGGAATCCAATTCCGGCGTAGCTGGTGCGAAAGTTGAACCATTCGATTAAAACGGGGATTGTGACAAGAATACTTTGAATACGCACTACGGACAGTTGAAGCGACCTCTGGGTCTGTTTCTTCATGGTCATCTTCACTCCTAGCTTCTGCCTCGACGCCGTCAAATTCCGAAGGTGGCGTCACTTTTCGTTGTTGCGTAACAGGGGTGACGGTGAGATGACGGGGAAGAGCAATCGAACAAGAAAGTACCTCGCCGCTTCCGAGATCTCGCCGTCGGAGGTGGTTCGTCTTCGGATTCAACAACCATTGTTGCGCGACGTGGTTTGACATGGGAGGATTCTTTATGAACTTGAAGTTAGCGACGAGTAAGGGATGAGAGGTGACATACATACCTGGAACCTGCACGTCACGGCTGGAAGTAGCTCTATTGTTTGATTTCCGTTGCACTTTACGGGATTTCTTTGAAGATGGTGTGGAATAGCCTGAAACTCTCAGCTACCTGTCTGAGACAGGCTAGAGGGGCGCCCACCTTTGCCTGTAAACTGGTTCCAGTCCGGTTCTGGTGTAACTTGTCGACCTGTGTGAGAACGATACCTAATTAGAGACACCAGATGCAGGATGTAAGGAAAACGGTTCGAATACACACTACTGATGGTCGAAGCCGGCTCTGAGTCTGTCTCTGCACCCAAAGGTTCAGATGGTGAGTTCCCTCGTGGATCAATCTCAGTACCGGAAGGTTGAAACGACGCATCACCATCGTATGAGCTGTCGTCAACGAGGAAGTCGTCGAAGGAATCTCTATCGAAGAAAGGAATCAAATTTGTACAACCCTCCATATTCCGATGGGAGACTATACTGTAGTTTCTTGTAAGTCTTTTTTGACAGTTTTTTAAGGGAGCCATCTGAAAACCAGAAATCAACCGAGAAGATTGAGCGAGGGGAAAACAGAACACACCGTGGGCAGACTTTCCCCGTTGTGATTTTGTCTCTGTAGCCGATGATTCATATGACGCGTCACCGTCGCTTGCGCTCTCGCTGACAATGAAGTCGTCCAGTGAAGCTCTGTCAAAAGTAAGCAAAAATTTCCGGCACTTTACGTATAAGAGAGATGCACATTATGTTCTTGGGTGTCTTTTTAGACGGAGTTTTAGGGGAGCTTTTTCCCTTGGACATCGCTGCTAAGCTCCTTGCTTTCTTAGCTGCAGTCCAAGTCAGTTGAGAAGACACTGGATGGGCAAAAATGCACTGTACGTTTCTTTCCCTTTGGCGATGTAACTTTCATTCCCTCTTTACAACCATCGTCCGAATCCGAGTCACTCTCAGCATCACTTTCATATTCAACGTGACCGTCCGGCACGACGATGTCACTGAGGTCCGACTCATCCTGCTCCTCTTCATGTTGAAGGTCTATATCATCAGCATATCTTGAAGCACTGAGTAGCTCGCCAATATCCCGTGTTTGATTGTAATGTCGTGGGTTTTGCAAATGATAGTCGACAGCAAGGAAATAAATAGGATACTAAGGAGGACAGCAGAGCCAGTGTGGGTAGTCTTGCAGCAGGAATGCAAACGACTTACCTTGTCTATCAGGTCTTGTTTTCTGCAACTCCACGCCATCCACTTCTTATCCCTGCATTCGCCAATGGTTTGTCCTCCATGTTTTTGTCCGAACGGCACAACGAAATCGAGGTAGTTCTCCTTCGCATATTCTCTCAGCCCGTCCACGTAAACTTCAATGGCACTTAGGGTGGGATGCTGTATCTAGAGATCAGTGTCCAATGTGCTCAACTAGCAAGAAACGTACGCTACGGCCCGATGCCGTTCGAGTTGTATACCACCAAGCAATGTAGTCGAGACATATTGCATGGAGTTGTCTTCCCTTATGTTTGCCAAAATCAAAAACCATTCCACCTGCATGGTCCCCATAATACCAATCGAGGGAACCATCCCCCGGGTCTATTGGGTCGTGTAGCGGCGAATATTCTTGTCGGTTGCGATTCTTGCGAAACATTAACGTCTCAGTCACGGTACCGCATCAAGCAATTGAAAAGCCTAAACGTCGGGTGGGAACTGAAGCGAGTGAGAGGAGGTAGGGAACATGAAAAGGTGGGCGGTCTCCGGGTACCGCCTGCGTTTTCAGAGAGTGTTGAGAGCAACGGTTGCTCTCCATTGTCCAACGCTCTCAACGTTCCGTTTGGGCACCCGCTCCTTGATCTGTTACTCCCACATACGACTCCGTTCCCACGGTCAAGCCGTGCAAAAATCGAAGAAGTATGGAAGGAAACATAGTCAGTAGCAAAGAAAAGTACCATAAACCAAAGTCCCCTGGCCCATACACGGCACAAAGATACTCTCAACCCATCCCGGCGCAGACCACGAAGTCCCCGCACACTGAGGGAGGTGCAACACGCTCCCAGCGGTCAATACGCCAACTCCGCCCACAAACCCCTGCAAATACGTCCCCCTCCTTCCTGGAGAACGCGGTGGCGAAAGTAGGGAGAGTAGCACAGTCGGTCACCAACACATCCCCGGCGAAAATCAAGAGTGTACTCGTAGGCAACAAAAAGAGGGCGCTGGATGCAGAACGCGCGACCACTCCAACCCCTCAATCATACAACAACCAAACACTGGCCATAGGAAGACAGCCCGACCCGAACCAACGCCCACCATGGGACGAGGACATAGAGTCATCGGGAGACGAAGGAGAAGAGGGAGAGATCGACCAAGACTCCATGCAAACCGACACCTTCAGCATCCTCGCGGACCGCCTTGAGGACGGCGACAAAAGATTCAAAAACTTATACAGCTCCCTCCTAGAAGCTGGCAGCCTTGTACAATCCCTGGAAAATGATGGAATGTTGGGCGCCGTAAAGGCCGACCCAAAAATCACAGGGTGCTTAACAGGTTTAACTAACGCCGTTTTAGAACAGCCCTACAGAGTCATCATGGAACAACAGTCGACACTTACACAAGCAATGCACGAGGTGCTCAAGTCCATGTCCTCGCTCATGGAGAAAACCGAAACCATGCGGGAAGAAACATCGTACAACTTCGCGGCAACGGCGGAACAACTCAAGGCCCTCGAAGCAGCAAACACCATCACCCAGACGCGGTTCAAAGACCTTGAAGAGAAAGTAGGAGCCACAAGCACACAGAACACAGGAACGGCCAATAACGCAAAATACACCACAAGCTACGCGACTGGCCCCGTGCACAAACCTAAAGGGAAGACAGCCACCAACCCAGACCCAGCAAAGCAAAACACAAAACCGACAGCAGCCCACCACCCATCCCGCGCTGTCATACGTTTTCTCCCAGACGGAATAAAGGAGGAAGATCGCATGGAACCAGCCCTAATTGTCAGCGCAATTAACAACGCCCTGGCGAACTCGCAATCACTCAAGGCCAAGCACATCAAGGCGGTAACGGCGTCATACAACAGCCAAGGTAACCTCATCGTCTCAACGCGCGCAGACCAACGTGCAGCAGATCTTCTGCAATACGCAGAACTGTTCATACCACTAATTAACCAGGGGTACGAAACGAGCGCCATAGAAGACAAGAGGTGGTTCAAGATCCAAATCGATGGGGTCAGCACCCACACCATGACTAACCTTGGACCCAGATCCATCATCTCCGCTGAGACGGTACACGAAGAGCTCTTGGCTTGCAACGTCATCTATGCACAGGCGAGCAACAACATCGTCGCACCCCCACGATGGATGCGAACAAAGGAAGAACTGGACAACACGCTGAGGTCCTCACTCGTCTTCGCTGTGGACGACGAAGATGTAGCCAGGGAGATACTACAAGAGAATTCACTGGCAGCCTTTGCACGACACTGCCCACTGAGGGCGTACCAAGACAGGCCCCCCGTAAGACAGTGCAAGAACTGTTGGGGATGGGACCACAAGACGGAAAAGTGCCCAAATCCGACAAAGTGCAGGCTCTGTGCGGGACAGCACAAAGAAGAGGAACATGTCAATGATCAATCGTGCCGAAAATGCAAGGCACTGGAGGAAAGCGACGGAATGGCCGTCGATGCTAACCAGTGTACACACAACCTCCATTGCGCTAACTGCTCCACAGCATCTCACGTCACCGAGAAGGACCACCCAGCAGATGCAAGAAGATGCCCCATCAGACTTGAGAAGTACGGAACTGCCCGGACTAACGAGCGGAAAGCCATGAAAACAGACAACCCCTGGAAGGTAGCCACGGCAAAAAAGCCGCGTAAGCCTAGAGCCCAGAAAAACACCACACTAACATCACAGAGTGTACCCCCAGAACAGCTGGCATGCCAGAATCAATTCAGCATCTTCGAAAACTTTGACACCGCCGCCCACATTGAAGAAGACACACAAACCCAATGAATAGGACAACCCAAGAAACACTAATCACACACCCAATACGCGTGGGACAACTTAATGCGCAAAAGAAGAAGAATGCAGTAATCCAACTCCTAAACCATCATGTACATGAATTCGACATTATCATCCTACAAGAACCTGCCTGGGGACTCATAGGCACTGAAGACGGGGTCGAGGTCCACGGACCGGTCGCACTCCAGGGATGGAACCCAATTTCACCAACCACCACCACCGACAAACAGCACAAACCGCGCACACTGACATATTACCGGGACAGGCCAGACTTCTCTGTCACGCTCCGCACAGACGTGATAGAAGATAGGGATATCCAAGTCCTAGACATCGCACAACAAGGCCAGCCGACCACAACACTGATCAATGTATACAATGACCCCAGACTGCTGCAACAAAGCGCCCTAAACCGGCTCCGACAAGCCAACATTCCCAGGGACCACCCAGTTGTTATCACTGGGGACTTCAACTTACACCACGATCTATGGGCAAGCGGACCTGTGAGTAGCGAGGACGCAAGAGCAGCAGAGACTATAGTGGACTGGTTGTCGGACGAAGGGTTCACGATCATGAATAAGAAGGGTGAGATCACACACCCACCACGTAACGCACGCGAGAAAGCTTCTGTCATCGATCTAACATTTGTGAATGGCCAAGCAGTTCGCGAAGGCACAGTCCAAGACTGGGCCATAGACCCAGCCATAGCCCATGACGCAGACCACCTGGGGATCAAGTTCACCATTGCGCACGGGGTAACCGAAATTCACAACCCAATGGACATCAAGTACTCTTTGAAAGAGGTAAAGCCCGCCGAGTGGATAAAGGAGCTAGAGGCTGCAATCGCCAAATCACATGAAGCCCTGCAACCCCTACGTACAACAGGCCGGCTTGAACCGGCCACCCTCGACATGTGCGCAAACGCCCTTACAGAAGCCATGCAATCCGCCACAGCAGCCACAGCCAAAGTCCGAAAACCCTGTGCGAACGCAAAACCATGGTGGGACCAAGATCTGACCGATGCCGCCGAACGTGTAAGCGAAACACGAAGGGAACAGAAACGACACCACGACACTGTTAACGCTTTCAGCGGTGATATAAGAACTCAGATAAGGAAAGCCCGCAACTACTTCAAGAGGCTGTGCCGCATCAAGAAGAGAGATTGGGTTAACGAAAAGCTACAACAGGCAACAACGGACGATATCTGGGGCTTCCAGAATTGGTCGAAAGGAACCCGGAACTACCCTTCCCCCCCCATCTCAAGAGGCGAGGGGCTCCCAAAAGCGGTTTCCCACCAGGACAAGTGCGACGCACTAAGATCAGAGCTATACCAGCCACCACCACACCTAGAGGTGGAATTCAACCCAGACCTACAGAACCCGCACGCGGATGACCTCCCATACGAAGAAATCACAATCGACGAAATAGGTGAAGCGATAAACAACACCAGTGCCTCATCGGCGCCAGGGTATTCGCAAACCAACTACCAAACGGTCAAGTGGGCGTGGAGGAGCGAAGATGGTAAGCAGTACATCACGCTGCTCATGCAGAAATGCCTAGATGCAGGTTACCACCCAAAAACGTGGCGCAGAGCCATAGCAGTTGCCCTCAGAAAACCCGGAAAGCCGGACTACTCCAACCCAAGGGCTTACCGCCTCATCACACTGCTAGAGTGCCTGGGGAAGATTTTAGAGAAAATTGTGGCCCGACGGCTAACGTTCCTGGCAGGGAAGTACAACCTCGTACCCGCCAATCAGTTTGGAGGCCGCTCCAACAGCTCCACCACCGATGCCCTCCTCACGTTTACCAACGACGTACAATGCGCGTGGAACCACAAGCTAGTGACATCAGCTCTAACTTTCGACATAAAGGGATATTTCGACTTTGTCAACCACAACCGCCTGCTAGTCGAACTCCGACAGAAACACATCCCGCTGGAGTATGTCCAGTGGGTGGACAGCTTCCTATCCGACCGCGAAGCCACAATCTGCATAGATGGGAAACGAGGGCTGATGGGACATGTAGAGAACGGCATCCCACAGGGCTCGCCCATTTCACCCATCCTAGCGGCATTCTATACAGCAGAACTCCTAGAGAAGTTCCAACACAAGGCAACCGGCCAAGCCGGCCCGAATCCAGACAAGGCAACGGACGTCCACCTCATCATGTACGTGGACGACGGCAAGTTATATGTATCATCGAAATCTCTAGAGACGAACGTGGAGAAACTCAAGGAGGCCCACGCGAAAGCCGAGTCATGGCTCAGGAGTGCAGGTTTGTCACCAGACTACACCAAAAGGGAGCTCATGCACTACACCAGGAGAAAGTCAGATGAAAGCCCAGCCATTGTATTTGACGACCAAGATGGAGTATGCCGTGTCGTCAAACCAGAGGCAACAGTCAGGTGGTTGGGGGTATACTTCGACCAGAAACTTAGGTTCCAAAAACACGCGTCAATCCTCGCGGCCAGAGGTGAAAACGCGGTCAGTGGGCTGACAATGCTGGCAAACACAATCCGGGGACTCAGCCAAACTCACCTCCGCCACCTATATCTCGCGTGCGTATCCCCAAAAATACTCTACGCATGCCCGGTCTGGTGGACAGGCCACCAGTATCAAATCAAACCCTTGGAGAAGGTACAAAGGCGGGCACTAAGACTAATATGTGCAGCATTCAGGACAACCCCCATTGAAGCGCTGGAGGTAGAGTCCTCCATCCCACCCATCAAGCACCAAGTCAGCTTACACGTCAAACGGTGCGCAATCCGCTTCAACAAACTGAGCCACACCAGCCCCATCATCAAGAGACTGCCACAACAATGGAGGAAGCCTGGCAACAAGACAGCTCAGCCCCCCCTCCAACCCAGGCTCAACAACAATTCAGCCACCGACAAAGCCAGGTCAACCAACCTGCTCAACATCGCTAAGCAAACCTGCCACGCACACGAGAGAATCGACCCCTACCTCGTAGCCCCATGGCGCCGGACGAGCTCCAGCTTTGGAGGACGGGTGGTGGTAAACGCCTGCAAGCCAGAAACGAGGGACGGCGAAGAAAAACGAAAGTTAATTGAAGACCACAAAGAAAAATACCAAAAGCTATCAGAAAGAAGAGAGTGCCTGGTCATCTACATGGACGGATCCATGGTGAAGAAGAGAGGCTTCCCTCAGGTAGGAGCGGGGGCAGTCGGGTACCACAAGGGGGAAGAGGTGTTCATGGGGAAGATGGGCATGGGGGGGAGAGCTGAGGTTTACGACGCAGAGATGGCGGGGTTAAAGATGGGGGCAGGTCTGGCCTCAAAGTACATCAAAAACCACCCGGAAATCAAGAGCATACACTACTACGTCGACAACTCAGCAGCAGCAGGGGCGATTTTCGATCCCAAACCACAACCCGGTCAACTATACGCCGCGAAATTCCACAAGAAGATGGCTAAATTCCTCGACAACGACCACTCTCACTCGATAGAAATCGCATGGTGCCCTAGCCACTGCAAGATAGCGGGAAACGACAGGGCAGACGAACTGGCGAAGGAAGCCACACAGATGGCATGGAATGCGCCAATCAGCACCTCACGGGCGTTCGCCCTGCGTCGAGCCAAGGCATCCACCCAATCAGCCTGGATCAGAGACTGGCAGAAGGCACCTCGGAAAGGGAGATACGCAATATCTAATAGGATTCCCCCTTCCCTCAACCCCACCAAACACTTTGTTGAGCTAAAGGACCAACGCGAAGTCTTCGGACGACTAGTCCAATGCCGCACTGGACACGCATACACCGGGGAATTCCGCAAACAGTTCTTCCCAGAGAAGAGCACCAGCTGCGAGTGTGGGGTAGAACTCCAAACCCGAGAACACATTATCAGGGAGTGCACGCGCTACGAAGAACATCGTGATAAACTACGAGAACAGTACCGTGAACTGGCACTCCCAGAGCTGCTGGGAACCCCCAAGGGGATAGCTGCACTTGCCGACTTCATTCGAGACTCCGGCGCATTCACATTCTCGGGGGAGAAGTACATGCCCAAGGAACTGCCCACGTTCTTCGACGAACCTGAACCACCAGACGAAGACTCGGAGGACGACGACTCCGACGCCGAAACGTAACACGCCCATGCAACCTGTACCCACAGACAAACCCACGCGAGCGCATCAGCGCCCGCCCTTACCCTAGCGTCATAACGACGCACCAGACCAAGACCCCCGAATTCACGGCCTCTATACCCAAACTTTCACAATTCCTTTACCATACAGCTACACATCGGACAGTAATACCCACATAGGTGGAGACCTATCAGACCTAATTACACCCAAGGGAAGACTTAAGCTTCCCGTGCGTCTTAGTACTAGTCTACTTGTTGCACGTAAATCTCTAGAAAACAAAAAAAAAAAAAAAAAAATGTTCCGTTTGGGGCTTACATGTGATGTTTCATGTGACTTTTTGCCTTAACGGGTACATCCGCATTTGTACATAATTATGTCCTATATTTCAATACAAGTATTTTGGCTAGGTATTGGAGTGTTTCCCACGGTGCTCATCAACTGTTTGCAGTCTGTCTTGAAGCACATTTTTGAGGAACTGCCCACTGTCCTCAGATCTCGGCCATCGTCTAGGATGCCACGCCGCTTTTTTGCAAAAGTATTCGCTTTTTCTTCTGCCTCGGCAAAGCCGGCGTTTGTTGGGGGTACTCCACCTGTTTACCCGATCGTCACAGTGACTGTGACGACTGAATTACTTTTGCACAGGGTTTCTTTTGTAATAAATTTAGTTTTGTATTTTCTTCTGTTGACGCCGCTGTGTCGACGTGTTTCCGGAGCAGTTCCAGTGCGATCGAAGACGTGTAGGTTGTTTTTTAACATCAGATACATAGATCGCACTCAATTTAATGCCCTTTGTGCTTTCTTTTCGTTAAACGATGCATTGCGCGTGCGACGATGGTAAAGCTGCGAGTTGTTGTGACAATGTTTATATGTTCCAGTCGTTGGGTTGTTCATGTGACTTTGTCATTCCCTGACTCTCAACGGTACTGTAGTCGTTTGAACAGCTGGCGTTATCATCCACACCTTATTCTGTTATTGTCTCAGCATTATAACTGACTGATCTATGACACCAGGAGCGTCGGTATTGCCAACTTTACCATTGCCGACCATGAAAAGGTCCAATCTGATCGACGACACGTCTTGCCAGGATCTAGCATACAAAAAAATCCAAGTCAGGATATATCAAGACGTTAACGGGCGGAAACAAGTAATCTCACCAACGTCCACCAACTAGAAACGGAATGCGATAAGAATGACAAAGTAAGTGTTTTTGTCATTAACCCTCATGTCTAAATTGCAAGTTGTAGTTCTTCATGCACGCACGAAGTCGATCACCATAACTTCGCGTTAGGGCATATTGAGTATGGCATCTATAACTCCCCAGTTCCCGCCTCACTTTCGCCTCTATCGTTTAGGGTGGAACAGCTCTACCATTCTAGACAAATTCTAGACACCGAAGCAAAAAAGCAGCTACAACCCATCTAGGGAGTAAAATTGACCATGGTACATTATTCCTCTAAACAGGACACAGCACAACACTCAGACTCAATGCGGTTTCCAAACTCGCCTTTCCCTCTGAGAGTTTGTATGCTCATCTATCACGCCCAAAAAATGTTAAGGGTCCTTTTTGTAATATTAATTATTTAAATTTCTCATCAGAATATATGCTCAGCCCGAAGCTGGTGTGTTTCAAAGAATGTTTCCCGAGCAGCATGATGAGCAGAGATTTTATGCCATGCCACCCGGTACCCAACACTTCCGCGGAACGCGGCCCTCGCTTTTTTTTCTTCTTTCTTATGATGAAGCTGTGGTTATTATTTAATTTAACATTCTCATTACTAATCAAAAGCTGCAAGGGGCTGAGCGCAGCGAAGCACCGCGCTAGTTATAGTATATCTTGCTTTTGAAACTCATGCCTTCCCTCCGTCCCTCTTGATTTCCTGATTTCCGCTTTTTCAATTGACCTAAGACATAACTGGACGTAATCTTCCCCCTGCAAAGCGCTTCATCCTGCTCTTCAACGGTGGGAATGAGACTAGAGAAGCAGCATGAGACGACAGTGAGTCGGCGGCTCACAGCCCTGTGCTTCTGCTGACGGATTTACAGCTGATCATTCCGAAAAGGTTGTCGAGAGTTGTAAACTTACAACCCCCTGTTGTGCAATTTTACATCTCAGGCGCCTCGTGTGAGAAAGCATGAGAGGTATATAACTATTGGAAAAATTGCTACCATCTTCACCAGGAGCACCGCACCAGCTACGGCCACCGAAATAGAACCTCCACTTATCTGCCTCGCACTGTCAAGCAACGTTTTAAACCAAGTGAGTGCTCTGTCACCCTTCGACGTGGATGCATTCAACCTTACCACATAAATCTAGACTCACTATGTGCACTGAAAAGATTTGGAAATACCTCTGCGGTTGCAAAAAGTCAAAGGAGGTTGATCAGTGCGGTGACAAATGCGCCGTACCGGCGAAAAAGGAACAGGAGTTGGAGGAGAAGTGCATCGACCATGGAACACCTCCTCCCATAACTCGACGCGACGCATTCTACATACCAAAGGATTCTAAGAAATAATCTGTTATGTACCAGCAGTTACTACTCTATGTATCGAACCCAATCCTATCAAGCCTAGCCCTTCCTTGAAGCCTAATCATATCCTGATATTTAGGTAGTGAATACTAAGAACGCCGCGAGCTTTGCAAAACTCTGTCTATCGCATCTACATCAGCATCGTGCAAGTGAAGGAGACGGCGGATGCCTGGGGAGACACACCTTATTACCCACACCCGTCGGGCCCAAAAACAAGTTGAACGCCATGGGTCGATTGGGTGATTGCAGTCACGCACGGGAGACGTCGCTTATTACTGACACTACGTGATCTTGCCCTACGACTGTTTCTGCCGGAAACTCTTCTAACTACACCAAACACAGCGTCAACCCCCCAATCCATCAAAGGAACTAGAAAATGAAAACAACGTACATGAACCAACATATCCCTCTCTCCATTCAGCAAATTCTGCACCGGAATCCCTGTAGCCTTCGCCGCCAGCCTCGACTCTGCTATTCAACATCACCCTACCGTGGAGCATCGCCAAGGGCGCCGATTCCTGATTCCTGATTGCCAAGTTGTCCCCCTCCACTAGAAGCTGGCCTTGCAACTCGTGTATTGTTCACATGTCAGTGAAGAGCATGTAAGACAACGTCAAAAACACAAACATCATCCAAGCAGTTAGGGCAACGTTTGTCGCTATCTGCCGTAGCCCAGTCTTTATACTCTGCAGTCTCCATCGAGGATATAACATGGCTTGGCGTCGACCTCGGTTTGGCCTCACCAAAGGATGCTGCCAGCCGCAACAAACCCTCGTACGATGTATCAAATTCCTCGTCCGGCTAAAAACACACATCAGCACCTTGAAGCAAGACAGAAGAAAGCATACAACACCTACCACAAAATCTCCCAACACTCTTGGCCGCCCTCCCATACGTGCGAGGATAATATGTCTAAAAGCCCGTGCACGTCGTCGGCGGAAGGCCAGCGTATCCCGCGAACTACGATCATACTCCGACTCTGCACCGAACCCGGTGTTTCTTGTAGGCCTCGCAGGCAAGGGGTCTTCATCCGCCACGTCAAAGACATCAGATACAGCCCGGACGATGGCTTCCGCCGGACGAGATGAACTATAAGTACGGAGGAGAGATTGGTCAGATTGAGATGAAGATTGAGGATAAGGATGGGAGTGAATAATTCCTTGATGGCGGTTCTCCACGTTCACGATAATATCGTTCAATAAGCTGCCGCGAACGTGCGTGGTTGAGACCGTCGCATCGCAAAACTTCAATGGCGCTGTTGAACCCCTGAACGTCTCCGCGGGATGGGACAGGAGGTGCAGGGTGTCAACTGTCCGAATCGTCAATCCTCGAAGCTTCCATACGAGCTTGACGAGAAAGATATCTATGCCGATCGCTGTTCTGCATAGCAGACGAGCTAGTAGCAGGTGCTGCAGGTGGTCGTCGCTGCTGGAATTGATCAACTTTTGAAGTCAACACCGAACGTAAATAGTCTGCATAACCTGGTGGTGGAGGGGGCGGCGGCCGATTGAGATATGCATATCGAGCATCGGACCTTGGTGGCGCTCTTGTCTGGAAGTTTGAACTATCCTCCTCAAATGCAAGTGGCGGTATACTACGTGCATGAGAGGGAAGTAGTCTCGCGTGTCAGGTAAAGTTGTTGTTGCTGTGAAGCTGGTGTTTGTGCGTCCAAGGTGATCTGACGAGCGAGTACAATCATTAGTGTCAAACATGATACCCAACGCGACATACGTACTCACATTCTCTAGAAGACCACCCCTCCGTAGTCTATCCATCCGTTCCCCGCACTCCTGCGTCCCCCTAACGGCGTTTACGCCTTAGATTGCAAGTCGAGTCTTCGTGTACGCGTTATCGTGCCCATCTTTGTCTTCTTGCGTGTCGGTTCGGTTTGTTGTAGGTAGTTAAACAAAATCTAATAGCTTTTGTTAGCTGAAAGCTTGTATAAAAGTGAGTGTGGTACTCGCCGTTGCAGGAATAGAGGTTGAGTTCGTCATGGTATGCCGTGGATGGAAGCCGCAAGTATTGGTGTCGAGGTAAACAGCCAGACCACCACACCTGACCGATTCGTCTCAGGAAAGGTGATAGACAACTTGAAAGGTAAATAATTTTTTGCAACGGCAGAGCCAGTCCTCATTTTAATAAATCTGGATTGCGCCGCACATGACCGGCGGGGCTCATGTGTGGTGTCTGGAGGTGGCTTATGTCCATATATTACATATATACATTTTACATACTTCTTGAGCGCATGCGCCAGTGTGGCTTCAACATGAGCTGTCATTCAGTATCGTTCCTACGGGACCTATCAGAAGCAGTCGTCAGTCATGAAATAGATTGTCCAAGACGACGTATACAACATACAGGCAGTAAAGTGTCGGCATGTACCGACGCCCACTGGCAGTCAGGTCGGAGGCGGATAAAGGTGTTCTGCACCGTCGAGGTCAGTCGCGCTCGTCCTGGGTTGCGGTGAGTTTTGGTTGTCGGTGGGGGGACCTGCCGGTGACCCCTCGAAGTATGTTTTAGTCGTGAGCCCTGCCAATACTATGGTCGGGGGTGGCTGGTCAGTCGGCTGATCGCAACAGTGACGGTGTGGTATACTGCGTAGCACAATTGTATTTAGGCGCTACAGTTGTGTGTCGGAAGCCGGTTGTTCCTCATTGGGACCGCTCCGGAATACATCTACTCTACTCTACTCTACCGATGATACTAGTAGTGCAAATACCTGGCAAAGGTCTTTGAAAAAAGTTGGCAAATCTACGTCGTAGACAGCCTCCTAAAACCAGCCGCTCATGCACTTATTATTAATAACACTTGTTTGCAATGCTGTGGATATACCGGGGGGGAAATTGGGGAAATTCAAAACGATTACAAAAGGTGATACCGTAGATTGACCGTAGAAGAACTGCTGGATGCGCACTGGACAGCCAATGGAGAGCAATTATGTACATAAACAGATTATCAATATTGTGCTTTACTGCAATAAAATAGGTGCGAATGAGGTGTCAGTCTGAGACGTCAAATAGAGGCCCAAGAATCAAATATGGTGTAGCAGAACCATAGATACCAGCACAACGACTAATCATCGATGATAATGCAATCTTCATCCTTAAGTCTATCCTCCAGACCGTCCATCATCACCAAGCCATCCTCTTCCAACCGTCGCCTCTTGCTCGGGCTCTGTGTCTCTTCCGCTTTACGTTTCTTTGATGTGGTATTGGCAGTTGGCTTAGTTTTCTTGGGGGTAGGTTCCAGATCGATGACTCCGTTCTCGTCTTCCAGAGGCAACGGGCGTTTCGCGACATTACGCGGAGGAGTCTCTGGTGGAGGTGGGGCAGGCTTCACTCGTTTGGGTGGATTGGGCATTGGGGATGGGAGGATGAAGGGAGGTGCGTCCGCAGGGTGATTTGGTCTAGAAATGAAGGGTATCTCATCAATCATTGTTCACCTTGTAGATGATGACAAAACTTACGGTAAAACGCCCAAACCAACTGAGATCGTTGCCCTATCCCCTTCCTCATCAACGATGGCCAAGAACTTGCCCCGTGTTACGTTAAGGCTTTCCAACGTCCTTTCATTGTTATCGTCCAAATCTGGGTCACTTAGTATCCGTTTGTCCTCGTAGACGCTAACCTCCCGCTTGTCGTCACCCAAAAGTCCTTTGATCACATCGCCCAGGACAGCTCGGGACGGATCGCAGAGTAGAAGGGCGTAGGTGTCCCTACATATCCCACAGGCAGGGTTTGGAGGGCTAAGAGTGATCGTGCTCAATGGAACGGCGGGTTTGAATTGGAGATGCACATTCCGCATCTTGTCATAGGTTTTGCGGAGGAGATGGAGGGCTTGTAGAACAATGAGGCCAGAGACGATGGCGTTTGTTGTAGCAATGGCTGGGATAATGTTGCCAGCCATCTCTGTGGGGATACGCCGAATTAGACAGGTCGGAAGGAAGAAAAAGATGGCGTGTGCTTGCCTTTGACTTCCCAACGAGTCTTAGTCCCAATGCCATAGGCTGTCGAGCGGAGGTTAGAAGACGCAGTGACGAAGTCGAGAGTGTCATCGTCGTCTTTATCAAACGAGATAGTGTCTTCTCCCCCTTTCAGTCGAGCTGCTAGTCGATTCGTACTAAGAGAAAGTCGGAGATGTGATTGAAAATTACAAGAGCAACAACCAAGCCAAACGCACCTTGAAACAAACAGCTCAAGGTTGTCTTTCAGCGTCAGCTCACGTTGATCTTTCAAGGCTGGTGCGCCGTTGACTTCACCATTCGTGATGGGTGCTGGTGGTTTTGCGGATGCCGATGGTTTTGCGGATGCTGGTGTTTTTGCGGTTGCTGATGACTTTGCAGGTCTTGGTGTTTTTGCGGGTGATGACTTTGCAGGTCTTGGTATTTTTGCAGGTGATGGTGGTTTTGCGGGCGATGATTTTGCTAGTCTGCTGCTTCTGCGTCTACTTCCGCTGGCTACAGCATCTGTGCCGTTATGAGTCGCCGTTCCGTTTTGCTGAGGAACGACGGTCTCGTTCATGATTGTGTCGAAGTCCAAGGGAGTTGGAGGGGCACGCGAACGCCACATATCCTCCATGACCAAAAGGTTCTTGATGTCAGCATTGAAGACCTGTCAGAAGACGTGATTAGCATAAAGAGGGTGCAAAGACATGTAATCATCTGCAAACTTTTTGGAACACCATCTTGGCAGCGTCCGAGCTACTTGAGGATCGCAAAGCGGTTCGCACAGCTTTGAAGGCTTGAGCCTCATTTCTTAGGGTTTCAATTTCTCGCGCTGAAAAGGAGATCACTCAGACTCAACCACCTGTAAGCATGTCAAGGGTGTTTGTTACACACCGTTTTCGCCCTGCTTCTCGGCCTCGTCCAGTTCTCCAACTGCATCTTCGTCTTCTCCGAATAGTTGCCCCATAAGATAACTCTTACTCCATACTATACAATGGATGGGTTGACTTGGCGTTGAGCGTATAGTACAGACAGGGAATGTTTTAGGTGTGCTTTTGGGTATACAGTCAAAACATTCCGTACGATCCTACAGTAATATAAGATCAGCACTTAAGGTCGCATGAAGAGACAGGGTACATACCATAAGCAAAGGCTGCACTTGACCAAGATATCCAGCTGTTCCTGATTCTACAAGTGGTACCTGAGCGGCCATACACATTTTGTTGACGTGCCTGCGCGCATCTAGTGACAAAAGTTCAGAAATGCAGACAGTTTCGGAAATAGGTGGCTGTACCCAGGTTGTCCAGAGCGTTTAAAACAATATCAAATTTCTGGAACCATTGTATGTCATATTGCGGTTCCTTGATGTTGTCGTGAATAGGTATAATCCGAACGTTGGGATTGAAAGCAGAGGCTGTTTGCGCCGCGACCTGATGTGCGAAACGTGTTAGTTAAGGAATTGACTTGGCAACATGTCCCTCCTCCGCCGAATCGTGTTGGTGACGGAGACAAGCCTCGATCATTCAAACTATCACAAGGCGTAGCTGAATAGCCGTGCAAGACCGCCCTTCGACTTGGGGCTGAGGGAAAAAACAAATGGCACCCGCAAGAAGCCAGAAAACAACCCAACCACGCGCCGACGAGATAAAAAAGCGGAAGCATATGGCAAAAACAGAAGCAACTTGAGAAGGCTAAAACCCACCAAAGCTTTGCTCTGTTTAACATCCTTCTTCTTGAACAGAAATTGTCTATTCAGGTTTGACAGGTCGATAGTGTCTAGATCCAAAAGCGTGATTTCGCCAAAGCCCGTCAAGACGATATTCTTCACTGAATTTCAAAGTCAATAAATTAAAAACACTCTAAAACGATATAGACTCACGTAATTCGCATCCAATACCGCCAGCTCCGACGAGAAGAACTCGGGTGTTTGAGAGTTGGTCATGCAACTCTGGTCCCAAAATGGCCCTGGCGTGGGCCGTACGCGCTTTGGCTGTGGACATCGTGATATAAACACGAGAAAAAGACGAGAATATTGTGGTTCTATAGCACAAGAGGTGATGAGGCGGGAGACGCTAGTCGTTGTAATCACCGCTTAATGGCGCTCAACAGCAGACGCGATGTCACGCAAAATACGTCGGGTCACACAAATGTCACACCAATTTGACCCGACAATTCATTGACGACTCGGAGTATTTTGTCGTTCTGAATCTTGCCTTGTCGTTCAAAATGTCGTTTAAATCGCGCTTACCTCCGCATTCGATTTGGAGGTCCTGTTTTACCCTCCATTATCTATATTCTCTGGCGTAGGAGAACAAACATTAATGGGCCCAACCTTGACGAACAGTTGGGAGACGGCCTACTTGTTCCCAACCTGGTGGAGCGTAATCTTCTGCTTCAAACTCTTGGCTCTGACGTTGGCGACGTCCCGATGGAAAATTACCAGTGGGAATACCTTGTAGCTGGGGGAGACACGACGAAAAACGTCTGCGTGTCCTAGCTGTGAGTTGTAATCGTCGTGATGATACTCAGCGTCCAGCGGAATACACTAGACGACGAAAAAATGAAATGGGTACTCTGGATGAAATCAAATGGCGGACTATTTCTACGTCGATCACCTGGCATGGGCCAGTCCGCGTTCAAACGGCTTATAACATGGCCCATCGGCCTTGTCAGCCTCTAATATTCTTTTCTCCTTTCCCCAGAACAGATGTGGCACATCGCTACCCTCCTTGTTGTACTCAACATCATTCTTTTGCAAGTCGATGCAGCTCGCATACACCACCCGAGTCAACATCACATACATTTGACGCATGTACGTCAGCCACACCACAAAGTTGTAGTCGCACACTTCATGGTTGGGAATACCCTTCCATATCAATTCCTGGACTGGGTGAAAGGTTGTACTTATTCACATTCTCTGACGAATTTTCTGATTCTAATGATTTTACAAAAACAGATATCAGACTCGCCTCATCCAAAGGAATTGACGCCTTCGCACTCAACATTGGGAGTGACCCATGGCAACCCGACCGAGTCGCCGATGCGTACAGGGCAGCGAAGGCTGTTAGCGATTCAAAGAAACTTCTCGGTCATATATCGCAACCATTCAAGCTTTTCTTATCCTTTGACATGAACGCCATACCTTGCGCCTCCGCTTCAGACGATAATCTAATACGGCACTACGTTGATACGTACCATGCACATCCGAACCAGCTGATTTACGCCGGACAACCATTCTATTCCACTTTCGGAGGCGAGGGGTGCACGTTCGGTGCTCAGGATTTGAATGAGGGGTGGATGAACGTAATGAAAAAGAATTCGGTGACGGGGACCCATTTTGTGCCCTCTTTCTTCATCGAACCGGCACGCCTTCACAACGTCACAGCTATCGACGGCGTGTTTAGCGTGAGTCCTTCACCTTGATGACTTTTCCTAGCTCAACCTATTGTCAATGTATAGTGGAACTCTGCTTGGCCATTGGGCAACACTGCCATTACTTTCGACTACGATCAACAGTATCTATCGCATCTCTCTGGCCGAACATACATGGCAGCTGTATCACCGTGGTTCTTTACCGTGAGTTTGATCCTCCTCCATCCCCTCGTCGAGGCTAACGCTTTTCAAAGCATTATGGGAAGGATACCTACAACAAGAATTTTATATACCGTCCAGATGATTGGCTCTTCGCAACACGTTGGGAGCTCTTGATCAAGCAGCGCGAGTCAATCGATCTAGCTCAAGTCATAACATGGAACGATTATGGCGAATCGCACTATGTCGGTCCGATTGAAGGTGCACAACCCAACTCCCAGGCGTGGACGGATGGATTTGACCATCAAGGTCAGTCTGGTCATCTTGCATGCGCTTCTGGACACCATCTTATCTTGTCTCTTGCGTGTTTACAGGATGGCTCGACCTCATGCATCACTATATCATTGGTTTCAAGACAGGTGAATACCCCGTCATCACGCGAGACAGGATCTTTCTATGGGGTCGCCTCTCTCCTGCACAAGCCAATACGCCAGATCCCATTGGCAAACCAGCCAACTATGATATCGTCAGTACTCTCACAATTGTCCCCAATGCATATCGATTAAACTCTCTTTTCAACAGACACGAGACGCCGTTTGGGCAGTCGCCCTACTCCCGAAGGCAGCACACATCAAGCTCACGTGTGGACCCTCTACCGTCACTATGGAGTTGCCGAGTGGATGTTCGAAGCTAAGCCTCCCGTTAACACAGTCATGCAGTGTGGTTGCCGTTTTGTATCGGATGAAGAAGGAAGTGTTGACGTTTGCGCCGAAGGGTTATACTTTTACAGAGAATCCGTCGAATTATAACTTCAACGCATTTGTAGCTGCTTCGCCATGATGCATTGTACTAGTAGCTGTGGGAGGGCAACCACTGAAGGAATTGTCAATGTATACCACTTTCTACAGGAACGATTCCATGGAGGTACTACTTTTCGCGAAAGATTAGGTGCTCGCATGCATGCAACAACAGGATGTGAAATAGTTGGGAAACGTACAAATATATATAAGAATGTTCTACCACATCAGCGCACAAAACAAGTCCAGTGAAAACGAGTGACTACGGGGCAGATTGACCATTGTAGGTAGGGCACAGTTGATTCCACGCAGCTGTGATGAAAGACATTGAGAATATATGAGGCGAAGACGCAATTGGAACGTACCAGGAGGGTTGGTACTAGAAATAGTTGGAACATCTACAGCGAAGACAACTCCCAAGCCGCTGCAAGTTGGTAAATCAGTGGATGCATTGAGAGAGTAACATAGAAAGGCGAACAGGACCATATGCCAATCAATGTGACTGATTGAATTATGAGTTTGTGATCAATTTCCCGATAACAGAATGCGCTCACCAGTGCAAAAACCACGGGCCAGCATTGTTCGTCGTAAAACGAATGGTGACGTTATCCCCATTTTGTCCGATACTGACCACGTCCCGACGGACAGGGTTCACAAAGTTGTAAGTCGAACTGCCTGCACTGCGGATAACGTCGAAGGTGTTCTAACACCGCACAAATTATGAGTAGGAATTCCCACAGGAACACAATTCGAAAACGTACCCCGTGCAAATGAAGTGGATGCTGAACGAATGAGGCATTCGTCATTCATGTCAACTTCAAGAGAATGACGGAATGAGCCACGTACCGGACCTCCAATTGCAAGCGCGACCGCTGGCATCGTAACTTCAACAACCTTATCCCGAGGAAGGACGTACACGCTTCCGGGGGGCAACATTTCTTGCGCGGTCTTCGCTCCACTCAAGATCTGTAAAAGCACGGGAACAGTCGGTGGGTCGAAAGGGGCCCCGTTGAGGGTATACTTGAACAGGGTATAGTTGAACACAATATTCAGATTGATATTGATATCTGCAGCACCGGGCTTTGCGGGGCCAGGGGCGCCCGGGTTTACCAACGGGTGAAGGTCTGTTTCACGCATCGGCATGACGCTGGCAGTTTGGGTACTGGTAGGGTCTTGATTAGGTGCGCCAGCGTATTGAAGAATAGCCGAGTTGATGCCGCCGTTGAAGCCTGGTGTCCCAACATTGGGAAGCGCACGTATCCAGTAGTTGTCGGTTGGTTGACTGGCGGTTAGAACGAAGGAGTATCGCTGGCCGGCAAATATTTGGATGGAGTCAACAGTCGTTGGTGTGACACTGATGCCGTCGACTTCGATGATGTTCTGTATGTTATGAGTGAGAGCTGTCAGAGAATACAACCGTTAAACATGCCATAGTGTGCCCGTCGATGGAGAAAACATAGTTGGGGAGGCATGACATTGAGACCAAGCGGAAACGATAGCGCTTGCCCTGAACAACGGTGATGTTTGAGAGGGGAGCGGCAGGTCCGCCAGAGTAACGACCTTTCCCGTTGATCAATGTAGCGTCTGGTGTGGGGAAGGAGTTAAGTTGAGGCGATGGGGTGTGATACCTTGCGTTCAAATTTCAGAAATGACAATTACAACAATACGTAAGATTCTTACCAGTCCGCGAGAGTTATAACAGTTGTTTCTGATTCCAGGAATTAGCGTATATTGCTTGTAGATAGAAATTACGATTACCATCATCGATGTCGTATCTAACGGAAAGAGCTGATTAGTTGAAGAGGAAAAAGTCAATTTGAAACTCACAGAGCCCTGTTTGGGTCCAGTTTGTCGTATATCACAAGAGGACCTCTAAGACCATCACAATATTGTGCCGCTAAAACAAATGACGATGACTGGCGGGCTCGACATCGAGGTGGGCGGACAACATACAGTGATGAGAATGGTACCAAAAGGTTCCAGCCTGGTCAGGAACGGAGAACTGGTATAAAAATGAGTCGCCTGGAGTGATGGGACATTGCGTCACTCCAATTGGACCGTCCGCCCAACTCGTGCGATGCTGAAACATGCCGTGCCAATGCTATATAATTCGGGCGATGTCAATCATTAAGATAGGTCAGAGATAAAGGCAAACGTACAATGCTGGTAGTTGTCAACATCGTCGTGTCGGTCAAATGATTAACGACATTCATGAAGAAAGTGGTACCCTGAAGGTTGACATTAACGCAATGTCCATACTCCGGGGAAAAAAGGAAAGGCCCGACCTTTGCACCAGAAATAAGCGGTCCAGGGAATGTCCCAACTGTGGACGAAGTACCAGCAAGGACGGCACTAAATCGCAAGAGGTTGGTAAGAAAACTCAGAGAAATGCTGGAGGACATACGAACGAGTGAAGCCATCCGGCTGTATATTATTATTGACAATATGGAGGTCCGCGGTCGGTCCTATCGACGCACTAACTATCCGTAGAAAAAGGAGTGTGAGGGTTAAGAGACGCATCTTCCCGTGTGGCGAAATCTGCTCACCACTTCAAGTTGACTTCAAGTATAACAAATATAGTTCCCACATCAGTCATGAGCGGCAGGGATCATCAAGGGTTGCTGGAGGGATCCTGCCAAGTTAAATTCGGCAGAGCGTAATTCATGTCACAGTCACATTACCTACAGGACGCAACGTTCTTAGAGTCCCTGCCAACGCTAAACGCGTCCTTCATCCTCTCACTTTACTTCTAAAAGGTCGGGTGAATCGTACCGGGAGGATTTAAAGCACCAATGCCACCAAAGTCACAATCAAGTCAACCAAAACCATCAACGCAGAAGAAAATCAAACCAACGCGGGTAAACCTCGCCAAGCTTGATGCACCAAGCCATTCGACGAAGCGAATTAACCCGTTGACAGCCGTGAGTTGACCCCCCTTCAAGTGCGGAGAGGTAATTGAACTAGTAGCGTGTTGCAGTTCAAATCGTCATCTCAGTCTCTACCCTCCCAACGGGACAGGGATGGGGATACTTTGCTCCTCTCTCAAGGAACTGTTAATGGAAAACAAGTTCAGTCTGGTGGGAAAGGGAAAGAGAAAGCAAGATTGACTTTATCGCCATTGGAAGATATCGGTGTGTCTCTCATCACTCTGTTGGTTTGGATTGCTGACCACTGTGGTCCGCACAGAGGATCGTCTATGGGTGGACATCTACGAACCTACTACAGAGGTATGCCACCCGCAATCCTCAGTATTTGTAGCAAGTTCAATGTTTATTCAAGGCAGAACTAGCTGTTCATGTGAGAAAGGTAGAGGATGTACGCCGTTGGCTCGTTGAAGCCTTCGATGGAGGTCCTTCTGGCAAGCTAAAAAAATACCGCGTGTGTCGCCTTCCCGTACATCAATGCCGCCACCTTATTCTCTTAGAGGATCCTCGCCCTGACGGGACCAGCTGGCACAGGAAAAACATCCACTATTCGCGTTCTCGCTCGTGAAATGGGGTTCGACATTCTGGAATGGAGAAATTCTGTCGGAGAAGCATTCTCTGGCTTTGGCAAGCTACTCCATTTGACCCTTGCGATACTTAATCACTGACTTCAGAGCAGATGCTTCAAGTTCCCATGCATCAACCGGCCAATCCCAGCATCCAAATAACCATGATCAAGACTTCGAGAGCCTGTTTACGAAATTTGAAGCATTCCTCAACAGGGCCACAAATTGCCAGAGTATCTTCTCCCACTCCACGTCAGGTAGTTCCTCAAAATCAGCATCTCAATCCGCAAAGCCATCTCCACCACAACGGCGCATAGTTCTCCTCGAAGACCTCCCGAACATTCTTTACGCACAGACACAAGCCAGCTTTCACGCATCGTTGAAGGCGCTCGTGGACTCCTCCCCGTCTTCGCCACCTGTTCCTGTCATCATTGTTGTTAGCAATGCTGGTATGCGCGGAGAAGCAAATGATGACCGCATGACGAGTGGTGGCGGCTGGGGAAGAGATAAAGAACAGGTAGTGGATGTCCGAACGGTCTTGTCCAAGGACTTGCTGGGAGGACCGTACGTCACGCAAATCATGTAGGTCGGTCTAATCATGTTTATTCAGTGATCTTAGATGTAATGTTTTTACAGGTTCAACCCCATTGCGCCGACACTGCTACGAAAGGCTCTTCAGGCACTTCTTCAAACGCACTTCGCATCCCACCCGAGGGGAATGTCGGCCCCATCTAACGATGTACTGAATATTACCGTGGAGTCGGCTAATGGCGACATAAGAAGCGCAATTATGGCCATGCAATTCGCTTGTGTCGTCCAACTCCCTAGCAAGAGTAAGAGGAAGGGAACAAAGCTTGTATTAGAGTCAGTCACGCGAAGAGAGCAAAGCTTGGTTCTGTTTCATCTTATGGGGAAAGTGCTGTACAATAAACGTCAGTCAATTACCGATAAACTTGACATATGTTTGATTGACAAGGAATAACTGTGTAGGTAAAGGTGACCCACCGAACCCGTCTGCAACCGCAAAAGACCTTGCGAAGGAACGTGACATCGATGCTCTTCTGAAAGACCCACCGAAACTTCCACCTCACCTTGAAGAGCATGAGCGAAGATGCAGTAGAGTGGATGTTGATGTAAGCTTGCCCCCGTCCCTCCCTGTTTGACGCTTAGCAGATGAGGGAATTCGCAGACACTCTACGCAGATTCGCCAATAGACTCGTCCTTGTTCTCTTTATACATACACCAAAACTATACCCAATTCTGTACGGAGATGGAAGAAGCTGAGGGTGTAGCGGATTGGCTAAGTTGGGTTGACTCAAGTGGGGGTGAAGCGGTATGTCATTTTATCTCAATCACTTTGAGGACGATTTAAGTTGGGTTTCTTAGTGGTACCAAGCGAACCCTCACCGCTTCCACCTATTGACGCTAGGCACCCTCCACTCGTTGCCTTCACCTGTGCCTCGTCGGTCTCAGAAGGTGTTTAAGCCTGAGTTCTTCAACTCCTTGCAGAGGGAGAAGGATGCAAGAGACGCAGTGACAATTACAAGAGAATGGATTGCGAGGGAGGATCTGAAGGTGGTTGGTACACTTTCTCCCCTACTGTCTTCGTACGCATACTCATGTCTCTCTGGAAACAGAACGCGGCAGCTAAGCGTGTTGGAGGATGGAGTAGGACTGACGTGATATTGGAACTTGGAGGGATCCTGAAGGCAAGAGAAGCTGTGGGTGGCCGCTCCCCATCTTCGCAGGCTCCTCCTGCCCATCAGCTATTCTCGAAAATGACGTTCGTGAGGGGCGGAGACAACATGCGGCTATCCCAGCTTGATGAAGCCGACACTGGAGCTGCTGCGCAGGTTATAGACGAGGGGTACGACGAAGACGAATGCTCAAGAACAAAGGAAGAAAAGGATGGCGGTTGGTTGGTGGAAGATGATATTCAAGATTTCGATTGAGTTCGTGATTCAGATCCCTGATTTATTTGCTTGATATTTTGCCATCGCAGTATATAATATGCCTTTCGTGTGGTTGGCCTTATTCATCCGTCTGAGTGCACAATAATGCGCCCACTCTCGATGCAGAAGAGAGGAAGATACTGTGCTCTGCCATATTGCCATAGTACGTTAGTACCTTTCCCATCCGCGTCGAATACCAAAGTGATGCATATTTGAAATCATGGCAACCTGGCGCCAATCGATAATCTGTCACCTGGCTCACTCTACTCTCTTAACTCCCTCTTGTTCCCTCTTCTTGAGTTGTATAGCGCGATCGTATCGATCGACCTTTATATATAATACAGTATAACTTCACCACAGCCTCGTCACTTTGCTCAATCGTTCTTCTGTCCAGCTCAGGTGAGTAATGTATGTCGCCTTCATCGATACTTACATTGACATTACCTGTAGGGATATAAGTACTAGGTAAAGTACCAATGATATTCAGTCATTCTTCTGTCCGGCTTAGGGATATACCAGTTTATCTCTCCAAACATGTCGCCTGCAAAGTCGGGGATGGAGACTGATAAGCGCGATTTCTCGTCGTCCTCCATATCCAACCCCGGGCCAAAATCATCTCAGGAGATCTATTGGCCACCAACTCCTCCCCCAACCAAGCTTTCGGGTGCAGCACAACGTCTTAAAGACATTCAAGATGCTCTTGCTAACTGCTCTACTCCCGTGACGAATTTCAAAGGGCAGAACAAGCGACCAAATCCAACGGGCCCCGCAGATGGACCGGCTGGAAAGCGACTCCGCCAGCTGCCACCAGGCTGGGAAAATGATGCTCTTTCGACCCCGACCTTCGGATCTGATTGTTCACCGTCAAGACCAACCCCTTCCCCACAGGGTGCAGTACAACATCTCAGAGACATTCAAAAGTTGGGGATGGGGGCTGATAAGCGCGATTTCACGTCGTCCTCCATATCCAACCCGCCAAAATCGACTCAGGAGATCTACTGGCCACCAACTCCCCCACCAACCAAGCTTTCGAGTGCAGCACAACGTCTTAAAGAGATTGAAGCTGCTCTTGCTAAGTGCTCCACTCCCGTGACGGATTCCAAAGGGCAGAACAAGCGACCAAGTCCAACGGTTTCCGCAGATGGACCGGCCGGGAAGCGACTCCGCCAACTGCCGCCAGGCTGGCCAAAAACCCCGACCTTTGGGTCTGATTCTTCGCCGTCAAAACCATCCTCTTCGTCCAATTCTTCTTCTTTTCCTTCGACAACAGGCACAAGCTCGACTTCATCCCGGGCTTCGACCCAACTTGTGTTTCTTAGCCAGAAGCAAGGCTCAGATCGTCCAAGAGGGTAAAAGCGTTTTTTACACTTCCTGGGAGTGCCGGTCAGTCAATACACAACATTGTTCCACTCTATAGGTGGCACTAAATTCTAAATTTGCCCCATTAGCAAACGAACGTGCACGTTCAACCGAAATCATGGGACTCAACCTCGGTTGGATAGAGAGTTTGGCAAAAAGCAAGAGATTATGGTAAAGTGTAATAGATACATTAAGAAAGGCTTGCCTTCCGCACAAAACCCCTATGTCAGTGGACCTCCAAATTGTTGATTCCTCCCTTCCAAACTACCCTGTGATGATGTTGGAATATCAAATTGTCCCCTCCGATAATCTTGAGCTGGCGGAAGCCCATCCATAGAGGTATCAGGAAGCGACATCCGAGGCCCTCGGGATGTACTCGGTTGAGGCGTGTGTGATGACCAGAAAGAATCGTATGTCAGATTTGACGGGCTGAAATTGTACATATCCTTGTTAGAGAGAGGTGGTGAAGGTTTTCTAGGAGCCTTGGATTTGACTGTCCGTGAACGTGGGGGCTTTACAGCAGGGTAGTGATTCCCACTATAAAGTGGTGCAGATTCGCTCCCTGCATTGGTCGTCGTGAAAGAAGGAGTAGATGATTGTGTCTCTGATGGTGGATAGCTGCCCCCTGATTGGTTGGGAGGCGTTGGATTCCGCGTTTGTTGTGAGGACAAGTCGAAAACTTGGGAAGAGGAGACGGAGACAGACTGAGTGGAATTCGTGGGGGTGACAGAGCCATCCCGTTGGAATTGATCTACGTCCATCGGAAATGTAGTGGCCTCTTCACCTTCCGATGTCGCGGAATTTACGACGTCCATGGTGGACGAGGAGGGAGTTTCTTCTGGTGGAGCGGGTGGCAACCAGTCGGAATTCGGCCGAACGGGTAAGTCAATGGAAATTGGTTCATCCAAATCGGCAAGGGTAGAACTCGTCGCAGTCCTGGATATGAACGACAGCGAAGATGGGAGATAGGGAACTGGCTGCTCGAAGGAAGCGCTTTCAACTGGTGTGATCAATGAAGGTCCCAGGAACGTCTTTGGCCCTCGTTGATGAGAATGGTGAAAGTATAGGTTTTCCACTTCGTTTAGATTCTGCTTTTGCTAGATGTGGGGGACAGTTGGTATCATTTTCGTATACGTGAAAGTGACCGGGATAACTGCCTCCTCGAAAGACATACCCAACCATGTTCAACTTTGAGACGTGCATATTGAAGCCTCATTTGTAGTTGTCTTGATAGCTAAAGATAGGGTTCAAAAACAGGTCTATGTCGTAAAAAGATAGGTTAACTCACATGAGAGGCCCTTGCCTTGTCAACCGTTTGCTTCCTGCGTTTGTCCTGCTCGTGTGCCACGGGTGCTTGGGCGCTGGTTGCCATAGACGACAACGTTAATCAGATTCTGTACGGTGAGCACCACTTTGTAGGGATTGAGGGGTTCAACTGAACGAGATGGATCATCATGACAATCGACACGAGAATTCTTTATTTCTATCACGTGAGCTCAACATTTCATCACGTGAATACCTTTCTCAAAATCCTTCCTTTGACTCGGTCCTTTGTCGTACCCTTGTCGAAATGCCTCTGGCAACTCCCTTAAATTTCCCAAAGTGGTTGGCTGAGAACCAGCACCTCCTGCAGCCGCCTGTGAACAACTTTTGTCTCTACAAAGGTGGCGATTTCATCGTGATGGCTGTCGGAGGTCCTAATGAGAGACGCGATTATCATGTCAACGAGACAGAAGTTGATACTCCTTCGCCCTTGGACACTGATAAATCGTTTAACGCTACGCCATTCACCTAGGAATGGTTCTATCAACATAAAGGCGGCATGTTGCTACGGACGGTGGATGAAGGCAAGTTCAGAGACATCCAAATCGAAGAAAGGGAGATGTTCTTGCTTCCTGGCGAGTCCTCTCACATTGTAATGTGGGACACGGGAATTGATGACTCGTCTATAGCCAACACACCACATAACCCGGTTCGATTCGAGAATACAATTGGTTTAGTCGTTGAGCGGGTTCGACCGGAAGGTTCTCTTGGTATGGTGTTTCGTCATTTGACCTGCGTTTTCTACACTGATCTAACTATGCTAGACCGGCTGCGATGGTACTGCCCTTCGCCCTCTCATGAGGAGCCAACCATCATCAGAGAAGATTCTTTCCATGTCACGGACCTTGGAACACAGCTGAAGCCAGTTATTGAACGGTGGATGAACGATGCAAACATCAGAACGTGCAAGATATGCGGCACCGTAGCCGATGCTAAGTAACAAAATTAGTCGTGTTTGAACTAAGAGGTGCGTGTCTCCAGTCTGTCTTTCTATCTTTTGGCGTCGTCATTGAAACAGCTTTCAGATGTCAGATGCGAAGTACCTACGCTGGGTTTCCATAAGCCAGTCTCTGTAATTTCGTTTTCCCTCTTCCACCCACTGGTGGTGTGTCCCACATTCCGACGCGCATTTTTCGCGCAACTCACCAAATTGATCTGGCGATGGTGTCATGTTGGCGAAAGCGACCATCATTTTCAGGTAGAGTTTTGTCTTTGAATTGTATCTCCACCATCCAATCACCTCACACCGTGAATTTTGAAGCTATTACAGACTTGTGAACTCGATCGTCTAATTTGAGAGCCCGTCAGGTCCAGGGAGTGGTCACAAGACCCCGCCTGGCGGCTCTGAAGCTAAGATATTTTTGCACGAGATCGCAAGTTGAGAGAATATGATGACAGCTCGAACGATCACCCCATTTCTCTGTCCAGCTGACGATTTCGGGCTTACGCGCCGGCTGAAGCGGCGTAATGTTGAAGAGTCAGCTGAAAACAATTGCTCCTGTTGTGGATGGCAGCTTTGAGGGCTAGCTTGGATTGATCATCTGCTACGTCGACGCTTCTCCTCGCTTCCAGCACCTTCGGTTTCCATCGATAACAAATTGGCGACTCAATCAAATTCCTCCCATAGGCGCTATTTTCCCTTTGATGTTTGACATCGGACATACTTCTGAGCGAATGAATCTGACGCACGTTGACAAACGGGCGCAAAATCCTCCACAGCCTGCCACCCAAGTTGATCGAGTGAACGACACATATTAAACCAAATGCGTCTCAGAGGGCTGTCATTCTATTTTCTGTAGCCTATCTCTAGAGAATCGAAGGCTTGAATGTTCAATGGTGCCTTGGGACGCCCGCACGGAATCCGGGATATGGCGTCATCGATTCATCACGCGCATGTCGAACCCCTGACTGAAAGCTGCTAAGCTATAAAGCCGCTCACGATATCAGAGTTATCAACCCCAAGTCTCCTATCGACTTATCAACCCTTTCCCTCACCAGCCCACCCATCCTCACCATGTCTAACCACGGAAACCGCGGCGATTCGTACGGTTCGGACGACAAATACGGGTCAGGCAACAACGACTCGTACGGTTCTGGCAACCAACGCTCGAACAACGACACGTATGGTTCTAGCAACAACGATTCCTATGGCTCAGGAAACAAGCGCTCGAACGATGACGACAATTATGGTTCCTCCAATAACGATTCATATGGTTCAAACCAGCGCCCTTCCGCCGATGACACATATGGCTCTAACAATCGCTCCAACAACGACGACAATTACGGTTCCAACAATCGCTCGTCTAACAACGATTCGTATGGTTCCAACAATCGTTCGTCCAACAACGATTCGTATGGTTCCAACAAACGTTCTTCCAATGATGATTCGTACGGTTCCAGTCATAACTCTCGTAAACGTAATAATAACTTACAACAATTTTAGCAACGATTCGTACGGCTCTAAACCATCCGGCGGTTCATACGGATCCTCTAACCAGGACTCGTACGGCTCCAACAAAGATTCGTACGGGTCTTCTGACCAAGCCTCGTACGGTTCCAAGAAAGGCGGCGACTCGTACGGATCCTCTAACCAGGACTCCTACGGCTCCAACAAAGACTCGTATGGATCGTCCAAGGATGACAATTCGTACGGGTCCTCCAACCAAGACTCCTACGGGTCCAAGGGCCCTTCCAAGACAACTTCTGGTGATGATTCGTACGGATCGTCCAAGACCTCTTCGGACGACAACAACTACGGTTCTTCCAACAACGACTCCTACGGTTCGTCTAACACCTCGTCCGGCAACAAGCCTCCCACCGACTCGGACAACTACGGCTCATCCAACACTCAGCCCCCTAAGCATGGCCATGGCAGTAATTACATCACGGACACTTTGAAGGCCACTGCAAGCAAGGCTGGCTACGACATCGTGAGTTTCCTCCCTCCTAACAACCCCTAGCGAGTATCTACTCAACACATTCTAGGATGACGCCACCGCTGACAAGATCGGCGAAGGTCTCCAAGAAGGTCTCAAGAAGTTTGGTGGAGGAAAATGTGAGTGCTTCCCATTCATTCTGGGGTCAGAGTTTCTTATTTATCGGTTATCTTCTCTTTAGTCGGTTTCTGAGGGACTGTATCGATTGGTCAGAGCAACGGCAGAATCAATGAATTAAATGTACTTTATACATGGACTCGGAGTTGGTACTGAACAGAAGTAGACTTGAGAGATGATCTTTCATGAGCTTTGGTCACGTCAAACAATCAGAGAACAAGCGTCTGCTTTGTATTGCTCAGATGAGCAATCGTGTCGTCTGAGAACCCTAGATGCGCCTTGACGAGCTCTGGCGGAGTTAACGCAAGCCACTGGCTTAGAGAGATATCTTGAAATAGCGCTAAACAAATCGAGTTTTAGCGCTGGGAGGCAGAAACAATGCAGTCGGTGATGAGGCTTACAGCTCTTGAGAACTTCAATGAATTTCAACGTGGTATTGCCAGTGTTTTCAATGTAATGCCCTAAGATGCGTCGCCTTCAGGTGTGCATTGGTTATAAATGGGACAGAGAAACGTACCAAAAGACGGTGGTATATACGCAACATCGCCGGGCTACACATCTTACTCTGAGGATGCCCTCAAATTCTAATGAAGGACTCACATAAAAATCGTACGTAGCCGCGTTAGCTTGTGATGCGAAAAGTGAAATTCTGGCTTCTCCAGATCTATAAAAAGAGTGAGCTATTTTGGGAGGCAGTGGATGAGAACCCACATGAAGAACGTCCACTCTGGCTGGGTCGGATGCCACTATTAAAAGTCAATGCAGCGTTAATGCTTGAACAAGTATCTACAAGAAGGACGAACATGAAGCTCTCTAGATGAAGCCACAATTTATAAGCAACAGCAGCGGTTGAAAATAGGAAACAAAATGGTTACCTTATACCTCCAACTTCGATCTCCACTTCAGCCGCTGCAATCTTGTTCGCCACAGAAAACGACCTCGAGTCGACGACCTTTACAGTACCACCCAATTTTTTTTCTGGGACTACTTTTGAAAATGCAAACGTGAACGGTTGTGGCGTATCGTTGGGTACCACCATATCGTCGTTGATATTTTCGGGCGGAGGGGTCCCTAATAATAATGTTGTGATGTCGTGTAAAGCGAGTAACAAAAAGGCTGTTGTTTAGACGCACCAGGGAAGATATATAGCTCTGAAGCGGGAATGTGGTCAAAGGCTTGCAAATCATTGTCCAAACCAAAGTTTTTAGCTAGGACCGACTTTGGAACATGAGCCAACCAGTCGGTGAGGAGGAACGTCCCGTCTTCCGAGAATGTGCCCTCATCAAAAATGAGGAGGAATTCAGCACCGTCTGGTGTGCTATTCTTCGCTTGGATAGAGTGTGGGTAACCGGCTGGAAAATACCAGAGATCTCCTTTGGACTAGTTTTGAATGTTCGTTAGAGTGCCATCAGATGATGCATTCAAAACTGCGCAGGCTTACGACATCTCCAATCCATACTTGACCTTCTGGAGTTACTGTACTGATTCTTAGATCCCCCTGAGTCCACGTGAATTTAGGATTCAGATGGAAGCCACTGGATAAACTAACCTCCAGGACGTAAGCCCACTTTTCAGGGGACAGCGTTAGTAGTTATAATAGGTCAATAGTAAATTGACGTACTTCGTCGACGTTGTGCCAATGCAATTCACTAACAATGAGTCTTAGACGCAATGTAAAAAAGAGCGGGGAGTGAAAAACGCAAACCGTATTGCGCCAGCTTCTAGACGCATGTTTACGCCTTGACGTCAAAGCCATGGATGTCGGTTGAGATATAAAACAAGAAAAGAAGATAGCCTACCTGCAATGTCCGTCGCCGACGGCATATTCCCGACTATGGACCGCGTCAGCCGTGAAGGAGGACATCATAGCATAGGAGGCGCTGACCATTCTGTTCTCTTGACCAGCCGCCTTGCTTCAGCTTGCTATGGCTGAGCGAAAAGGGCCACTTGAAGTTCGGCACTGAGCCGTGGTCGGTCGTTGGGGGTGCTAACAGATCCGCATTTTGCAATTCCAGGGGAACATTTTGAGGCCCTAAGATCAAGGCACCCAGACTGCCGCGTTGAGGTTGAGGAACGATTTTTGAGCCAGCGTGCCAGAGTTCTTTATTCGGATTCGAGTCGGTGTAAGCGATACCGTTAGGGTCACCGCCCAAGTCCACTTGGGTTGGAACAGGTATCGCACTGACGGTAGGCAAGAGGACGCAGGATGCGAAGAGAAAAGGTAGCGACCAGTGCATCCTGAAGGTGCAAGCAATGTTCCGCACTAAGAGGAGGTCGAGGAAATGAACTCGTAGTCTCTAGTTGGTCTTTATAGAGACTAGTCATGACGTTAAATGGTCCCAATCACCACCAAGGATCAAACGGCTTGTGGTGGTTCTAGTTGGGATCTGGAGAAGTTGATCTGTTGCCTTTTGTTCCCGCCATGGCATGCTCATTTCGTGACAGTAAGCATGACGTCTTGCGCCATGGCAGGTAAATTCCAAATAAATTTTAGGCTGTTTCCTTGTGCGGAGAAAGGCGTCCGAGGGCGTTGACAGAGGCAATACATGAGTCAAGCCTAAAGTTCAGAAGTCCAAGTTGAAGCAATCGGAACATCATGCGCAGGTGCGTTGAGCTACAGGAGCGCCATGGGAAAGATACAACGGAAATGTGATTGCATACAAAGTAAGGGCTGCTGAAGATCACCGGGCAAAGCAGGATGTAAGGAGGAGGTTTGGAGCCTGAGGCAACTTAGGAGCCTAGGAGGAGGTACCTGAATGGGAAATTGTTTGTTGCTTGGTTTTTGATGGCAACCTCGTCCGCTTTTCTGCAACTCACCTTCATCTCTATGTAAACAAATCGTCCTTGTTGGGATTGGCGCAGGGAGAGACGGCTTGAGGAACTCCCAAGACAGTGGGATCCAACGTGAACACTGAAAAGTGTAGTATATAAACGGACTGTCGTCCGTGTACGTTAGATACGAGATCTAGAGTAAAAACTATACTACTCACCTGTCGTCCGTGTACGTTAGATACAAGATCTGAAGTAAACGGACGACGGTGAACTACGGTAGGTCACGTGAAAAGAGTGGGCCTGTAAGGTAGCGGCGGGACGAATCATAATACTCAACACTCCCACCTGATGATGTCCCGGACAATATCACTGCAGTGGCTCCTTGGACCACTCCCCAACAACCCCCATCATGCGCCTGAACTTCTCGACAAGGTCTCGAGTTAGTGCCTTGGTGAGAATATCTGCTGCCATCTCAGCAGTAGGGATGTAAGAGGGAATGATTTTCCTATCGTAAACAGCCTGTCGCAACCAAAACCAATGGCGGTCGAGGTGCTTGAGCCTTCCCATATGCTCAGGCTGCTTTGAGACGGAGATTGCAGAATTGTTGTCCATTTTGAGATCCGAGGGACCAACTTGTGTCGTACCAATTTCATCAAGGAAATTTCGCATCCAGCAAAGCTCTCGTCCAGTTTCACTGGCAGCAATAAACTCGGCCTCGGTTGTGGAGTTAGCAACAATGGTTTGGATCTTGCTGCTCCAGCTAACAGCGCCACCAGCAACCATAAGTAGCATCCCAGTAGTAGATCGGCCGTTGTCAAGATTACCGCCGTGATCAGCGTCAGAAAATGCTTTGAAAAACGTTGGTGCAGGTGTCGAGGCAATGGCGGAGTACTCAATCCGATAATCCAAGGTCCCACGTATGTAGCGGAGAAGGTGTTTAACAGCCTTCCAATGGTCAAGCCCGGGATTGGAGTTAAAACGACATAGAACTCCCACCGAATACACGATGTCAGGACGTGTTGCGAGAGCCAGGTAGAGCAAGCCTCCTGTAGCTTGAATATAAGGTATTCGGCTCATTTCTTCGACCTCCTGTGATGTTTGTGGGGACTGGGACTTTCTGAGCTTTATGTTAGGGTCCATGGGAGTAGTTACCGGATTGGCGTCGAGCATGTTGAAGCGTGAAAGAAGGTCAACAGCGTAAGCACGCTGGTCAATCCAGAGTTTGCGGTTAGGGCGATCACGGGTGAGACGCACACCAAGAAGGCCGACTGCTGGTCCAAGATGGTTGAGATCAAAGTACTCGCGAAGTTGATCAATGACCTTGAGGATGGCCGGTCGTGATGCTGATGCAATTGTCATGTCGTCGACATGGACGGGGATAATGATGCGGACCTTATCACGTAGGTAGACATATACGCAAGGATCTGAGACCACACGCACAAAACCGATCTTGATGAAGACCTCGTTCATCCGCTTATGCCAAAGATATGCGCCCTGCTTGAGACCGTAAAGACCCTTTAAAAGGCGAGCGACTGGTCGTCCATCTCCAGGTTGTTTGATGATATCAGGTGCAGGATGTGCAGGAAATCCGTCAGGGAGATTCATATAAATCTCCATTTCTTCAGGCATAACACCATGCAGAAATGCGGCGCGAATGTCAACCGACTCTAGGTGCATATCCTCGACTGCTGCAAGAGCAAGAATAGTGCGGATAGCATTCCAGCGTGCTGTTGGTGCAAAGGTTTCGTCAAAGTCGACACCAGGGCGTTGACTATAGCCTTGGGCGACCACACGCGCTTTGAGGGGATCCTAGAGCCATCTGGAAGGTGTTTAACCTTGAACACCCAACGTGAGCCAATTGACTTCTTTCCTGCAGGAAGATATACAACGCGCCAGGTGCCATTCCTCTCAATTGCGTTCATCTCCAGACACATTGCAGTGTACCACTCCTCAGAGTGATCACTTCCCATGGCCTCTCGATAGTTACGTGGATTGGTGTCATGGGCGCCAACTTTCATTGCGCAGGTAGACGATTGCAATGTCGCGGAAAAAGCACTGTATCCCCCCGAATCGGTTCCATTCTCGACGAACGTACGTCCAGCCATCATGAGAGCTTCATCAGACACAAGATCGAGGTTAAAATTCACCTCCTGTTCGCCAAATTCATCAGCAGGGCCAAGAGATGCATCCCAAAGCAGCTTGTCAGTGTTGTCATTCACTGGGATGGGAAGGGCTGGAGCAGGGATGTCAGGCACAAGATTACGTAGTCTCTTAGCATCAGCTTTTGCATCCGCTTGACGTTGGATTGAGGAATAATAGTCGTCATATTTCTGGACAGGCTTGTGAGTGCGAGGGCCAGTAGGGAGCTCAAAAGGAGGAGGGGGGAGAGCATGTTCACGGTGACGACGTGCAGGTGGAGGAGAATCAGCTCCCACCAAAGGAGGCAAATCGGCTCCCACCAAAGGAGGCAAATCGTTAGAAGGTGCCTCTAAAGCAGGAGGGAAAACAGGATCGTCTTCATCAAACGGGTCTTCATGTTCTGGGAGATCCATGAAATTGGCAAGGGGTGGAGCAAAATCAGAGTTCAAGGAAGAGGATTTGGTTGAGGTACCAGGAAATCGGGATTCATCAAATATGACATCACGCGAGATGTAGGTCTTCTTCGAAACTGGATCATAAACCTTCCAACCAGCATGGTTTGAAGGATATCCAATGAAAATACCTTTGATGGTATGACCTTGCAAGCTCTTGCGCTTATCCCGACCAATGAGGACATACGCACGGCAGCCAAAAACACGAAGATGGCCACAGCGAGGTTTTCTGCCCTTGAAACCACTGTAAGGTGTAGAACCTTTTGGAAGAGCAGCTGTCGGAGAACGGTTGTGTACATGGCGGAATACATTGAGAGCATCACCCCAGAAGCTCATCGGGAGGTTTGCTTCATTAAGCATTGAGGTGAGTGCTTCAGCTGTGGTCCGATTATTCCGTTCAACAACTCCATTTTGCTGTGGAGTAGCACGCGTCGTAAACTTGATTCGAATGCCCTCTGCCATAAGAAAGTCGACGAATTCCTTGAGTGTAAACTCGCCCCCTTGATCAACATGGAAACATTTGATTTTCCGGCCAGTCTGCTTTTCGACAAGAGCCTTGAAGAGTTTGAATGCTCCAAAAACATCGCTTTTCTTGGCTATATCATAGACTTCCATCCAACGGAATGCGTCATCAATAAATGTGACCCAATAACGTTTCCCAGAGCGGTTCCGTACACTCATGGGACCGTGAACATCACTAAAAATGCGATCTAGAGCACCAGTCGCTCTATCAGCGGTATGAGGGAATGGGTGCCGGTGTTGCTTTCCAGCGATACATGATTCACAGATGTTGTCAAGAGGAGCGTCTGATGTGAGGACAGTATCTGATGCTAAATCTTCGTCAATGAACCTTTCAAGGCGATCGTGGCCAAGATGGCATAGGCGTTTATGAAGAAGGTTGCGGTCAATGACTGCTCCACGAACGGCAGAAATATTGGATGAAATGTTGGGGACAACGACTGTTCCATCAAGATAAGCCGTTGTTGATGAGTCGACGGTTGCGGTGAAAAGAGTTTTGTGTTTCCGAATGAAAGACAATTTGGAGCCGCGGATCACGACAGTGAATGCTCGCTTCGTTGTGAGGGTAAGAACAGATAAGAGATTATTGGCAAGATCTGGTACATGAAGTACATCTGTGATGATAAGATCCTCCAATGCCCTTCCATTTGACTGTCGACCTGAAGGCCGGAAATGTACTGATCCCTTCCCAGTTGAATAAACAATATGCCCATTTGCGATGTGGACTGGAACACGCCAAGGTTTGAAGTTGCTTGAAATCCAATTGCGATGAGGTGTCATATGCGCTGTGGCGCCAGAGTCTGCATTCCAATGGGTGTCAGCTGAGGCCTTGGTGCTAGCAGAGATACAAACAGCGGATTCGGCCTTGACAGAAACACCATCACAGCCCTCTTCGACCTTGGAGGCATTGGCCGAGTCCCGGTTTGCGCCACGTCCAGCTCCACGTCCTCCACGATTCTTCTTCTTCCCCCCAGATGCAGGCAATTTCTGAGCACTGCTGCGAGCCTCGATATAGCTAGCGCATTCACGTTGCATGTGCGGACCACCACACCAATGACATTTGATGTCTCGAGCCGCAGCGGCAGCAGCAATGACAGCGGCGGCCTCGATCTCAGCCTGGGTGCCTCGACGTTGAGTCTCTTCAACGCGAAAGGCTTCCAAGACGGCGTCCTTCGTGAGAGTCGATAAGAGTAGGACAGAGGATATGAAGGGGTTGTAGTCCTCGCGAGGAAGAGCGCGTATCATGGCCATGATTGCGAGTTCTTCGTCAAGCAAGGAAAGGGTGTATGGCGGTTCTTTGGGGCGAAGATTGACGACAGTTTGCATAGCCCCTTCAACACGAGCAGTCAGCTGAGTGAGGGTTTCGTCTTCTTTGAGGCGAATGGAAAAGAGATCGGAGAGAGAGTTGAAACGGGAGTTTGGCGCGGATTTATTGTGAATGAGTGCGAGCTTGTCCCACATCGCTTTCGGGTCTTCTCGAATGGACAGAACATGCACCTTGTTTGCTTCATCCAACCACTGATAGATTTCTCCAGCTGCCTTCTCGCATCGTGTTGCGTAGGCGTTGTACGCGGCCATACTGGCTGAAGTGACGTCGGAGGAACTACCAGGGTCGGAGATCACGGTTTCCTTCCCATTGATAATGCGACTGACCCCCAGGTACATCATGCGGCCGTACATCGCGGATTCCCATTCATTATAGCTAATGATGCCGAGCTTTGCAAGCGGGCTCTTGCGCGAGGTGTCCGTGTCCATAATGGCAGGGATCGGTTAGATCAGATAACGATCTGACAGGTGTGTGAATCTCGGGCTGCGACGACTGAGCGGAGCGAGGGATTGGAGGAGAGGGCTGCGACACGTGAGAGTGGAGCCTTCGAGGTGTGTTGGGAGGAGTTCAAGAATGTCTGGGGCCGGGGCCCATAACCTGTTGGGATTGGCGCAGGGAGAGACGGCTTGAGGAACTCCCAAGACAGTGGGATCCAACGTGAACACTGAAAAGTGTAGTATATAAACGGACTGTCGTCCGTGTACGTTAGATACGAGATCTAGAGTAAAAACTATACTACTCACCTGTCGTCCGTGTACGTTAGATACAAGATCTGAAGTAAACGGACGACGGTGAACTACGGTAGGTCACGTGAAAAGAGTGGGCCTGTAAGGTAGCGGCGGGACGAATCATAATACTCAACAGTCCTGTCGTTGGCTTACCACTACATTCGTGGGAGAATCTCACTCTCTATCCTCGGCAAAGCTTCTCCCAAGCTTCTCCCCATGATCACCCCGCTAAATGCCTGTAAAACGTGCAAGAATAATATTTTCAAAATGCTACGAAC